TTCCCTCCCAGCCGAGCCCCGAGTGGCGCCTCGCAGGCTGGGCTGTTGATGGTGCTGGAACCCTTGTGCAAGTGGGTGCAGGGTCCCCGGAAAGCCTGGATCGGTATCTGATACTCACTGCTCGGGCTGCAGACACCAGTCTCTCTCGGAATGTGTTTTGAGACTACTCCAGGACCTGGAAAGGAGGTGCGTGGTGGACATGGTCGGGCAAGGGAAAAAACAAACAAGCAAACACACAGAAACAAAATCCCAACCCTTGTTTCTGGCCCTTGGGTGACCATTAAATCTTCTACCACGGTGAAAGAAGGGGGAATGGTTGCTGGGGGGCCCCCAACTTCCTATCCCGACACCCCAACCTATCTCCCTGGCCAGCTCTTTTCTCCCTTTGCCCACATCGGCTTTTCCAAACTCCACCTCCACCTCCACCCCCATCTCCCCGCGGTGGCTCTGAACACACACCCTCCCTGCCTGCTGCACGGAGCAGAGAGCACGCCTGCCTCCGACGGGACTTATTTCAACCTCCTGCTCTCCTTCCCCCCACCCCTCACCAAACTTCGCTACGCCCACGCCCACCTTTTTCTCTCTGTCTAAGGCCAGACCTCCCGAGCTCTCAATCCATCTCCTCCCATTGGTTCTGCAACCTCAGAACCTTTCATTGTCTTCAGCCTCTTTCCTCTCAACTGTGTGCTTCTCATCAGCCTTTAAACAAGCTCAAGTCCTTCCCATCAAAGTCTCCCCCTTGCCTCCCCTTCCCCATCCGGCTACTTCCAGTCACTCTGCTCCCCTTCCACATAAACAAGAAGGACCCCCCCTTGTCTATGCTCAGCCTAATTTTTAGTTCTGTTAAAATGAGAAATGAGGTGAAAATATCTAGACACCAAGAAACCTAGAGACCCGTCCAGAAGGTTTATTCTACATTCCCTTTTCTCTCTAAACAACATCATGCAGGTTTGGTTGTGACCACACTGGTTTCCGTCTTCTCCTTGGTGTATTTAAAAAATAATGTGGGGAGAATTGGATCCCCTAACTTTTAGGGGAGCTGCCCCAGAGTGTCCACAACCAATCAACCTGTTTCAAAGGGAAGGGGGAGGTCACCTTCCGATCAAAGCTCCATTTCCTCCTCGAGGCAGGCCCCTCTCTGTTCAGTCATTGGCACAATTTTGGGACGAGAATTTCCCTCGGAACTTTTGAAAACGCTGCATATTCGTTTTGTACCAATGATGTAAAATATGTCTTCGTGCGAAAGGGGAACACAGAGTTTGGTGAGACTTTGAATCATAAACCATCACAATATGCTTTGTTTATCTTTTTTTCCAGAAAGAGAAGAAAGCAATATAGCTCAATGGTGGTATTACAGGGTTTTCAGGCCTTTGGAAGAGAATTTAACCACGGGGCTCCTGGAGCCTCTTTGAAGCCAAGATTCTGGAAAGCATCGTCTACCTATGTGCTTTACTTTCTGGTCTCCTGGTCCGTCCGCCTCTGTTCTGCCGGGCCTCGGCCCCCACTGAGGCATTGCTCCCTGGGGCCTCCCCACCTCCCTTGTCACTCCATTGCTGGAACCCCTTCAGTCCTCAGCATTCTGGCTGCTTTTCTGGTTCCCCGACATTTAATCACACCACACTGTGGGGTCCTTGGGCTTTGCCAAAGGGTCCGGTGGGGGTGTTGTACTAAGTCAGGGGTCACGTTAGCCTTGCCTGGCCTCCTGCCATCTTGCTTTCTTGCCATCAGCTTCTCCTCCCCTTTACCTTTCATTTTGCCATGGCACCTGCGAAACCTACCTCCCCGTCATCTGAAGCATCTCCCCCTCCTTTGAATCTTGAGATCTACTGACACCCAGGCCCTCCCGGGAGGGAGTGGGTGTTTCACCTTCTAAAACAAGCCCTCAGGGCTTCCCTGGTGGCGCAGTGGTTGAGAGTCCACCTGCCGATGCAGGGGACATGGGTTCGTGTCCCCGTCCGGGAGGATCCCACATGCCGCGGAGCAGCTGGGCCCATGAGCCATGGCCGCTGAGCCTGCGCGTCTGGAGCCTGTGCTCCGCAACGGGAGAGGCCACAACAATGAGAGGCCCACGTACCACAAAAAAAAACAAAACCAAAAACAAAACTAAAAATAGAACCACCATTGACCCAGCAATCCCACTACTGGGCATGTACCCTGAGAAAACCATAATTCAAAAAGAGTCATGTACCAGAATGTTCATTGCAGCTCTATTTACAATAGCCAGGACATGGAAGCAACTTAAGTGTCCATCAACAGATGAACGGATAAAGAAGATGTGGCACATATATACAATGGAATATTACTCAGCCATAAAATGGAACGAAACTGAGTTATTTGTAGTGAGGTGGATGGACCTAGAGACTGTCATACAGAGTGAAGTAAGTCAGAAAGAGAAAAACAAATACCGTATGCTAACACATATATATGGAATCTAAAAAAAAAAAAAAGGTCAGAAGAACCTAGGGGCAAGATGGGAATAAAGATGTAGACCTACTAGAGAATGGACTTGAGGATATGGGGAGGGGGAAGGGTAAGCTGGGTCAAAGTGAGAGAGTGGCATGGACATATATACACTACCAAATGTAAATTAGATAGCTATTGGGAAGCAGCCGCATAGCACAGAGAGATCAGCTCAGAGAGATCAGCTCGGTGCTCTGTGACCACCTAGGAGGGGTGGGATAGGGAGGGTGGGAGGGAGGGAGATGCAAGAGGGAAGAGATATGGGGACATATGTATATGTATAACTGATTCACTTTGTTATAAAGCAGAAACTAACACACCATTGTAAAGCAATTATACTCTAATAAAGATGTTAAAAAAATAGCCTCTTCTGCAGTCATAATAATATAAACACTATTGAATTAGTTAAAATTGTGATGAACTGTCTTGAGAAGATAAGGAAGGAAAAGGAAAGTGTAGGATATGTGGGTGCGGGAGCGTGCAGGCAGAGAGGTGTGTGATAAGACAGCTTCATCTTCATCTTCTAGAATAGGAGGTTGGAAATCAGCAGATGATGGTCCAAAGTGAAAAAAAATCAGTCAGTAATCATATAAGCATATGATTGAGAATTAGGGAGGTAAATACCAAAAGAACTGGCTTAAGAGTTTGAACTTTGCAGGGCTGGATTACGAGACTATTGCTATTTAACCAATATTTATTGTACAACTGACCAAATAAAAATTAAGTTAGGAAGATAAGTAAAACAGGTCAAACCAGAGCCTCTCTGCTTGGGCTAGGACGGCAGAACTCAGCACCAGCCCATGCCTGGCACTCTCACAGCACAATTCGAAACTAGACAAACCATGGTTTCAAAAAATTCCCAGGAAACAAGAGAGAACCGCCAAATGCCTTGGATGAGAAACAGCCACTTAAACAGCAATTAATCTCTCTGTGATTCAGGATGAGAGAATTTTGCTGTATTTAGTTTCTACAGAGAAGCTAATGCAGACATCCCCTTTCTGTAGTTTATTCAGCACACAGAATCTAGAAGAAGCTAGAGTCACCCCTGCCCCGAAGCTAGAGCCCTTCCCCACCCCCACCCCCCACCGTTTCGCCGCTACTCCTGGCTGAAGGCTGAAGGCCTTTCTGGTCCTTCACAGAGATGTGAGGAGGTCTTGATAAAGCAGGTAGGGAAAAGCCCTGTTCCCAGAGCTGTCTCTGACAATGTGTAGAATTTTTCAGACGCAATCTCGGCCAGTTTAAATCAAGGAAACTGCATATTTTGGTTAAGTCCTTCCTGGGCCAAGTTTTTAGATAGATTTCCAGCAATGTCAATGCATGGTATATAATTATAGTGTCTTCAAATTAGGAAGAGGCTGCATGAAGATGGTAATATAACTTACTGCATTTAGAAAACTTTTCAGCCTGAATCATGTAGAACAGGGATGTATTTTTCACTATCTTATTTCACAGTCACATGTGAAATATGTCTTTTTTAAGCATTAGGAATTTATATATTTATAACATCTGCAAAAGAGAACATTACACGTGGGGTCTGCCCCAAGGATTTCCAGGAACACCTCTTTCTGTGGGGTTTGTAACACAGAAGAATTTTTTGAGGTGTGTCCCCAGGGTTTGCCTCTTCATCTGAGAACTTTCACACCCCTGGCCATTCCCAAGAATGGGCCCTGCCCTACACACACACACACACACACACACACACACACACACACTCACAGAGCCACAGAACAGAGAGGTGGCCAACCCAGAGGAAGCACTCCAGAGGCAGCTGAGCCAATTGCCCTCCCTGGCCTGGGGATTAGGAATTGGGTCACCTAGAGACGGGTCAGTTAGTATAGGCACCAAAGTTTAGGGTCATGAAAAGACCAGCTGTGTTTCAGCAGAGATGAGAAAGCCAGTCTGCAGGGAGAGAGAGAGAAAGAGAGTGAGAGAGAAAGAGAGAAGGGAAAAAGCAGATGTACTGGGAAGTAGAGATGAGAGATCTCGTGTTCTGAGAGAGACAGTCATCGGGCAGAGACCAACAGAGGCCAGGAGACAGTGACCAAGCAGCAGAGTGATGGACAAAGACACAGAACACAGTAGGAAAAAAAGAGAGACAGAGTCATAGACTGAAAGACAAAGGGACAGGGCGATGGCACCGTGGCTCCCCACATGTCCCTCCACCCCCAGCTTGGCTGCTTCTTGGCCCAGGAGGTAAAGCACCACTTTCCTGTCCTTTTCAGAATAATCTGAAATCTGGGTGATTCAGTCACCAGACAGTGCTTGGGACTGAAGGGAGCTCGGCTTCAGTTTTGTTTCTGTTCTGATAATTTATTTTTACCCTTTTTGGGGAAGGGGGCATTCAGTGCTTTTTGTTTTTTTCTCCAAAGGGAAGGGAATTAAGCATGACAGTCAGTATAACAAAACTTGCTAAATATGTCTCTGTTCAGACAACGGTATTTTTTCTCTAACTGCAGTCATTAAGTCAATGCTGCTGTAGGTGTGACACTTAAGTGACTGGGTTTTTATTTTTGTCCCCAAGGTAGAAAACTCTTGCCTACTTTCTTACTGTGCACTGGTTGGGTGAGGTGTCCAAGATTGTTCTGCAACTTCAGAGAGCCAGGAACGGTTGATCCATGTAGGGCTCTGCCTTTGTCATCCCTGTGGAGTAAAAACCCCGCAACAGCAGGTTTTGAGACTGTTCTGTCCACCAGCTTGTAGTGTGTAGTAGGTACTCAATAAATCCTAGAATGGACAATAAATCCTGGAATGGACAAGGGACACACAAACAAGTGCCTGTGGGTATAACCAGGGCCCAGGAATGGGCGGAGGAGAGCACAGGGGGCCGAGGTCCTGGGCCTCAGGGGTCTCCCCCATTTCCAGGTGGGCCCCAGTGGCCCCTTTCCTGCCGTGGGGCTGGCTGTGACGCTGCCTGGATGGAGTCAGGGCGGGTCCTGGGTTATGCCTGCCCTGGGACAGCAGAGGCTCAGGAGGAAGTGGGAGCGAGCAGGCTCACTTCCGGTCTGGCTCGCGGCAGAGGAATAAAGCTGGTTCCAGGGTGGAGCTCACGAGGGTGGGAGCCACAGGGATCTGAGAGAGGGACCTAGGCTGCCCTTTTCTCATCACAGCGAACATGCTAGGCTGGGCTCCGATGAGGCCGCTGCCATCTCCCCCCCCTCCATTTCTTCCTGTGTCCCTGCCTCAATTCTGCAGGCGCAGGAGGGAAGGGAGGGTGCCCAGCCCAAGCCCATCCCGGCTGTGCAGAGGGATCACAGGGTCTGGGGAGACTGTCCCTCTGGTCACCACCCAGGTGACCTGAAGTGTCACAGAGCTGCAGTTGCCAGTGGTGGGCTGGGCTGCAGCCTCCCCAGCTGTCCCAGGGGGAGGGTTGAGGCTGCCCCCTCCAGCCCCGCCAGCCCCACCAGCCCTGCCAAATTAAGGCAGCAAGGCCAGCGCTGCTCTCCCAAGTGTTGATTCAGTCGTTTGTTCATTGACTGACTGCCTCCTCCCATGAGAACCCAAGGCCCAGTGGCCCACAGAAGGTGCTCCATAAGCATCAGAAGCAGAACGAAGGGCTCTCCCTTTTCAGGTGTACTTTAGTCTCTGCATTTCACCAAAGGCTGGCGAGTCCATTTTCCTGAGTTTCCGGGTCCGAGATTTCCTTTAATTTTCTTCCTGGCTTTGGGAGTCCTGGGGGGCCCTCGTCCCCTAAGGATCCTGTAGTTTTCACTTTATTGTCTCAGGCAATGGCTGTTGCCACGTGAAGTTCAAAGCTGTGCTGGTTATCAACATTTTTGAAAGTCATCTGACTTTGTTTCTTCTGCTTGAAAGTTGGGAGAAGCCTTTATTTTTCCATCAAGTTTAGGAATTTCACCAGAATATATCTTAGAGTCGGGTTGGCTTCTCATTTGAATTGGTACAAGATGGTACATCTTACTTCATTGTAACAATTTAGCAAATGTTAAGGGCTTACTATGTGCTAGGCACTGTTTTAAGTTCTGGGGAGACAGCTGTGAAGAAAACAGAAAAAACTCTCTGCCCTTGTGTGTGTGTACCTGTGTGTGTGTGTGTGTGTGTGTGTGTGTGTGTGAGAGAGAGAGAGAGAGAGAGAGAGAGAGAGGGAGAGAGAGAGAGAGAGAGAGAGAGAGAGGGAGAGAGTGCTAGAGGGAGGGTGGAAGGGAGGGAGAGGGAAATAGGAAGAGAGAAAACAAACAAGTTTTGATTATTGATCCCGTTCCATTGATTTATTTATAAACTTCAGGAACTCCCCCCCCCCCCCGCCCCATATTAAATCTTCACACTTTATCCTAAATGTCCGGCATTTTCCCCGAGCTTTGCTTCCATCTCTCCATTAATTTCCCCCATTTGCCACAGAGGTTTCTCTTGCCTATCTCGTTTAATAATCCAATCTCCTCTAATCCTATTAATCACAGCTTCCAGTGACAAGCTAATGTGACGGGCACCCACTTGCCCTGCACTGTCCTTGTCTGATCACCCTGAGAATTGGTAATAGCTGTTTTCTAAAATCTTCTTTCATTTCACGTGAGACATCCTTTTCAGAGAATAGGATTAGCAATACAATTTCACTGCTTTCTTCTTTTACTTCTGTGCTCCGGGCTTTCTCACTGACATCAGATTAGTTTTCTTCCTCTTATATTCAGACTTCCTTGCAATTCACGTGTAGATCCAATGAGAGCAAGTAGATTTTTTTTTTAAATCATTAAACCTTGTAATATATATTCGTTCAAAAGGGAGGAGAGGGCTTCCCTGGTGGCGCAGCGGTTGAGAGTCCGCCTGACGATGCAGGGGACGCGGGTTCGTGCCCCGGTCTGGGAGGATCCCACGTGCCGCGGAGTGGCTGGGCCCGTGAGCCATGGCCGCTGAGCCTGAGCGTCCAGAGCCTGTGCTCCGCAACGGGAGAGGCCACAACAGTGAGAGGCCCACGTACCGCAAAAAAAAAAAAAAAAAAAGGGGAGGAGAGAGAGGAAATCGGGAAGGAGAGGAGGGGAGGGGAGAAGACAGGACGATTTAAATAGGGCCTCCCCTTCTACTCAGAGAGCGCGTGCCCCGCAATGAGCAGAGATCGGAGATGTGGTGGGAACCTGTGGTTCTCTCCGTGGTCTAGGGTCCCACGTGCCCCTTATATGTGAGCATCTCATCATGACTCTAATATCTAAAGATGTGTTTTTCAAACAAGACCCATAAGGTAAACCAACTACTTCATCTGCCCAACCAAAGAAACAGCTATCTCTTCCCTAGTGAAGGGAAAACTGGCTGAAGTGGATTTTCAATAGATGGTACTATACAGTAGAGAAATTTATGGGTAATTTAAAGGGTTTTCATGAGTGACTCTGACTATATGGGATAAAGTCTTACATGGAGATTTTCGAATCCAATTCCTCATGTAAGATGTGACCCCATTGTACTAGACGTCTCAACCGCAGTGTCTGGGATGCCATAGCCCCTTCTGATGGCCAAAGTGGGCAGACCCCTTTCCTCAGAGACCCCAATTTATAGGCCCCCCCACACAGATAATCTATGGCTTGATACAAATAGGCCACATGAGCCAATTGGATTCTCCCTCTCTCAAACCTGAAATTGGAACCACCAAAGGAGGCTGCTAGCCATGGCAGCTGAGGCTTGAAAGTCACACACTGCCACTTCTGCAGTTCCCTACTGGCCACACAGGTCAGCCCTGTTCACTGGGAGGGAACTTCATGGACACAATTCACCAGCTTAACATTTATGGGTACCTGTGATATGCCAGGCACTGTTCTAGGTTGTGAGGATATAGAGATGAACAAGGTCCCGGCTCTTATAACACTTACCCAGAGGGCTGCTCTAGGCAAGCAAGAAATAGGTACATGAGCAAGATGGTCAGAGAACAGCAGAAAGCCCTGAGTTTTGGAGTGAAGCCATGAATTTTCTCTGCAAGTAACTATTTTCTTTTTGAGACACAGCTCTCAGCTTTCTATTGGGTTCTGTTGTTGTTTGTAAGATTAAGTATGGAAGAAGGGTTGATGATGAGGTTAAGTAACTAAGGGGGTAGATTGTGGAGGATACACGTCATCAACTCACTTTGGCTTCAAAACCAAGGAACACGCTTCCTATATTTTGAGAATTCCCCACCCAATGAACTCACACCTCCCCATGGCGGAAGCCAGATCGTTTCCCAGCCTCACCTGCAGATGGGGCAGAGCATGTGACTTAAGACGCCACCAATCTGATGCACTTGCATGAGGCTAAGTGTCACTGAGAAGCAGGTGCCAAGGCATCTTCCCTAGAGAGGATGACAGCAGATCCACCCGGCTCTCAGAGGCAGCAGGAGCAGGCACCCCAATGGTGGTGTCCAACATCAAGTGCACCCCCAGGGCAAATGACGGTGTGAGTGCAATGGGGGTTATCCACACAGATGACCTCCTTGCCTGGTTCTCTGTTTTCCTGGAGATTTTATGAGGTACCTAATATCCTTTAACAAATTCCTTTCCAGCTTAGACCCGCTAGAGAGGAGTCTGTTGCTTGTAAACAAGAACTCTTGCTGGTACATGAAGGGAGAACAGCAATAAACAAGATAATTTCAGATAGAGGTCAGTGCTAGGAAGAAGTTAGCACACAGGGATGTGGATGGGCATCTCCTAAGGAAAGGTAGCATGACATTGCAACTGACTGCATGGCAAACCATAAAATGCAAATTATGTAGCATCACTCACGTAGCATCTACACACATGTAACAGTGAACAACAACCAAAAACACAAGGTGATGTGAAAGAGAGTGACAGGTAGGGCAGGGGCTACTTTTGATAAGGTGGTCAGGAAAGCTTGTCTGAGGAGGTGACATTTGAGCTGAGACCTGAAAGATGAGAAGGACCCAGCCACGCAAAGATCTGGGTAAGGAGAATTCTAGGCAGAGGGAGCAGAAAATATAAAGGATGAATTGGGGAAGCTGAGGGATATATGGAAGGTTGGTGTGTTTAGTGGGTAAAGAAGAACATGATGAGGGACTTCCCTGATGGTCCAGTCATTAAGACTCGAGCTTCCACTGCAGGGGGCACAGGTTTGATCCCTGGTTGGGGAACTAAGATGCCACAGGCCGAGTGGCACAGCCAAAAGAAAAGAAGGACGTGATGAGATTGGACGGTAGGTAGGGGCCAGTTCATGCCAGGCTTTGCAGGCCATGGCCAGGCATTTGTGTTTGATTCTAAGGGCGGTGGGAAGCCATCAGAGGCTTTAAGCAGGGAGTGATAGGGTACTGTGGTAGCCAGTCTCCAAAATGCTCCCGTTGATCCTCACCTCCTGGTATTTACACACTCGTGTAGTCCCTCCCACACAGAATATAGCTGATGAGTGTAACCCTAGAATACTGCAGAAATGAGCATGTGACTTTCAAGGCTAGGTCATAAAAGACATTGTGACTTTGGGACTTCCCTGGTGGTCCAGAGGTTAAGACTCTGCACTCCCAGTGCAGAGGGCCTGGGTTTGATCCCCGGCCAGGGAACTAGATCCTGCATGCCGCAACTAAGAGCCTGCATGCCGCAACCAAATATCCCACACGCCGCAACTAAAGGAGCCTGCACGCTGCAGTGAAGATCCCTCGTGCCGCAACTAAGACCGGTGCAGCCAAATAAATAAATAAATACTAAAAAAAAAAAAAAAAAAAGACATTGTGACTTTGTCTTGCTCCCTGAGTCACTCCCTCTGGGGAAGCCAGCTGCCATGTTGTGAAGATGCTCAAGCAGCCCGATGGAGAGGCCCACTGGTGATGCACTGAGACCTCCTGCCTACAGCCTTGTGAGTGAGACACCTAGGAAGCAGATCCTCCAGGCCTGGTCAAGCCTTCAAATGACTACAACTCCAACCGACATCTTGACCACAACTTCACGAGAGACCCCGAGCCAGAACCACCCAGGTAAGCAGCTCCAAATTCTTGACCCATACGTGTGTGTGATCATAAATATCTGTTGTTCTAGGCCACTGAGTTCTGGGATAATTTGCTACCTCTACCCATTCTTACGGCTGGTGTCTGTTCTGCTTGGCAGAGGCCCATGCTTTAGTAGTTGTTAGGTATCTTGACTACTAGCCCTGAGTAGGAGTAATGACACAGAGAGGAGGTAGAGTCATTAGTGAGAGGAGACCAAATGGTGAAGGCAGAGAGAAGGGCAGCACCCTGGGGAGGGCTGGGTCACTCGTGCTACTTGGGGGAGGACAGAGCAAAGACCTGCATCCAGGTTGTTCTCCTGGGTTCCCAAGTCTGTGTCCTCACTGTAAACGCCCCACGACTTTGGGTGAGACGGGTGAGCTCTCTTCCTTATTCCACTCCGAGCAATTTCAGACCTGAGGCTGGAGGATGGGGCTGTTGTCCTGGTTCCCTCTCTTGGGCTGAGTAGAGCGCTCAGTCCAGATATGGGCACCGGCCACCGGCCAGCTTCCTCCACGCAGTTATGACCGCATACTCACCGCACGTCAGCCTCCCCAGCCAGGTGGGAGAGGGGCTGTGTGAAGGGAATCCATGTCTTCATCTCTTCCCATTAGCGGGGGCTGGATTATACGGACTCAGATTCTGAGCTATGCTCCTCTTTAAAAAAAGAACAAAAAATTTGCTTATTTGGTTGCGCGCGGTCTTAGTTGCAGCAGGCGGGCTTCTTGGCTGTGGCTCGCCGGCTCCTTAGTTGTGGCACTCGGGCTCCTGTTGGGGTTGATTTCAAGGACATTTAAATGGGATTTAGGGATGGGAGGTGCTGGAATTTCAGCTCACTCTAAATAATTTCTTGAAAATCAGACACATGGCATTAATTGAAAAAACACTAAATAGAAAAAGTTCAAACAATACAAAAATATAAAAAGTGGACTCCCCTTATTCTTCCCACTCTCTGATTATTTAGATTATCTTTGGTTTTTCTCTAATACAAATAGTTCTGTGATGCACATACTTGTTCACATTTCCACGAACCTTTGAGCAAGTATTTCTAAGGAATAGATTCATAGAAGTTTATCTGCACATTTTACATATGCTGATGGGTTCTCCCCATTGTCCTTCAAAAGATTGTACCAGCCCAAAAGCCCACACTATACAGGAGCACGCCTTTCTTGTTAGATATTATCACTTTAAAAATTTGCATTTCTCTGATCCCTAGTGAGCATAAATGTCATTTCTCAACTAGTGGCCATTTGAATTTCTTCTCTTGCAAATTGCCTGTTCTTGTCCTTTGACCATTTATATCTTGGAAAATAAAGCTTCATCCTTTGATATGAAGGGACTCTGCATATTTCAGGTTATTATGCATGTTGTACCTAATGTCTATCATTTGCCTTTTGTCTTTGATATGGTCTCTAGCCCTACAGAAGTTTTACATTTTTATGAGGTCAAATCTGTCCACTTTTCCCTTTAGGGCTTCTAGATGTTGTCTTGCTTAGGAAAGTTTTCCCCACTCCAAGAATATAAAAAATATTTTATCATATTTTCTTCCAGTGCCTTAATAATTCTGTTTGATGGCTGATGTCAAATTGTCCTCCAGAAAGGTTTACCAGTTTACATCCCATCAGCCGTGTGTATGAGCCCTTCCCCACACCCTCACCAGCCCTGAGCATCTGCAATCTTTCCAAATCCTTGCCAGGGGTGAACAATTTGTATCTTGTTGTTTTAATTAGCATTTCTTTAATTATCAGTGAGATCCAGAATCTTTTCATATGAGTATTAGTTATTTGTATTTCTTTTTCTGTGACCTGCCTGATGGCATCTTCACCCTGGTTTTTCTGTTGGCTGTCAGTCTTTATCTTTTGATAAAGGGCTCACTGTTTCTTAAGGAAACAGTCCGGCCCCGTGTGTTAAATAAGTCCCCCTGGTTTGTCCTTATATCTCTGCTGTCTGCTAGCAGCATCTGTTGCCAGCTGCTTGGTGCAGTGGGGTGGGGGAGGAGCCACACGCCCCCGGTCACCTTGTCAGCCGCCTGGGCCTCTCCTGCTTCCTGTGCCCGCCTGCCCTGCCCTTGGTGCACCCCAAAGGCCAGCCCCTCCCTTTACAGAATCCTCTTCTGAACATTTATGGCTAGACTTTCACCTTCAACTCAATTCCAGCTATTTGCCTTTCACTCTTCAGCATCCTTTACTCCTCATAGTTTCTGATAATGAGGATATCCCTTTGTAGTTTCTAGCCCATGATAGATTTTAAAAATATATATATATTTAAAATTAATTAATTAATTAATTTTTGGCTGTGTTGGGTCTTTGTTGCTGCGCGCGGGCTTTCTCTAGTTGCAGTGAGTGCAGGCTACTCTTCGTTGCGGTGCTTAGGCTTCTCATTGCGTTGGCTTCCCTTGTTGTGGAGCACGGGCTCTAGGAGCATGGGCTTCAGTAGTTGTGGTGCGCCGGCTCAGTAGTTGTGGCTTGCGGGCTCTAGACCGCAGGCTCAGTACTTGTGGTGCACGGGCTTAGTTGCTCCATGGCATGTGGGATCGTCCCGTGGGATCGAACCCGTGTCCCCTGCATTGGCAGGTGGATTCTTAACCAACGCACCACCAGGGAAGTCCTGATAGATTTTTAAAAAATACATATTTTTTCGATCGGGTTGAAACAGGTGCTCAGGCTGCCATCTTCATTCAATCTCTCCACCATTAATTCTTACCTAATCACATAACTGATTTCTCCTGTTGTTTCTTCTGGTTTTATTTATTTATTTATTTATTTATTTATTTATTTATTTATTTATTTATCACAGGCTCTAGGCGCATGGGCTTCAGTAGTTGTGGCTCGCGGGCTCTAGAGTGCAGACTCAGTAATTGTGGAACATGGGCTTAGTTGCTCCGCGGCATGTGGGATCTTCCTGGACCAGGGATCAAACCCATGTCCCCTGCATTGGCAGGCGGATTCTTAACCACTGCACCACCAGGGAAGTCTGTTTCTTCGGGTTTTAAACTGTATATTCTCCAAGATTTCAGGTCTAAAATCATTTGGTAAAATGTTTATTTTACCCAAGACATTTTAACAAGCTTGCATTGTCAAGCCACACGCTCATTCACACAAACCAGATGACCACGGAGACGTTTTTGAATTGATAAATGAGTGAATGAATGAATGAATGAATGAAATCAGCTTCTAGACCAGAGGCTGCCGATCAACCCGTCCTGGGCTGGGCGCCCGGTAACCCTGACCACAAGGAGGTGGAAGAATGCCAGGGGGCGCTCTTTACAGGCCGCAGCCCCTTCTCCAGTTAATACTAAAGTCTCAGGTGTGGCTTCTTGGGCAGTCATTTATTTGTATTAATATTGGCCATCAATAGATGTAATAATAATATCCCTGAATTGGTCAGAGGCAACTCTCAGGCTTCCCGGAGCCTGGGCCCACTGGATCTTCCATGTTGGAAACTCTGGGTGCCCTCTCATCCTTTTCTTGTGCTCTTTTCTGTGCTCCATCCTTTCCCTTCTCCTTCTTTGGTCCTCTCAAAGTCTGATTCTCCTGCTCTCATCCATCTCTACCTGTCTCCATGCCTTTCCCAGTGTGTTCCACAGAACATCAGATTCACAAGATGGTCCTGACAAAAAGGACCCAGGGGTTGAACACATTTGAGCAATGCTGACTTAGTCAACCTCTTGGAGGTGGGTTGGCACGTGAGGGCCCCTTGCGAAGTCCTTCAGTGAAGACAGCTTTTCACTGTGCTTAAGCAGCCAGTACCCCAGGCCTGCAGGAGCACTGCTCTGTGCACCCCTTATCAGCATTCTGCAGAACTAGCATTTGCCAGGCCTTGCCATGGGGAGCGCTGGTTCTCAGGACCCCCGGGTGGGAAGTGATTAAACAGCGCTATTTGCAGTGGCTAGAGGGGTGTGCTGGTGTAACCATGGATGCCCAGGGAGTTCTTTCTTCAGAAAGAACCCGGAGCCAGAAGTGACACGTTTTACCAACTCCCACTGCTACCGGCTGATCTGAAAGAGAAGGCAGAGTCAGAAGCAGGAGCCCAGATGGCAGACCAGCCCCCTGGGCTGGGGAAGACACAGAGCTGCAGAGATTCCCAGGCTGCTTCTTGGGAAGTTCAGCCTCACAAGCTGGTGAACTGAAGCAACTCTTCGCTCCAGGGGACTTATGAGAAAGTTAGTGAGGCAGCACACAGCCTGGGAGAACTGCTGAACAACCAGGCCTCCCGATGGCAGAATAATGGCCACGCAGGGGCCTGGGGAACCTTCTCTCCAAGGCACTGCCATTAATGTGGCTCAGTTTCACTGACACTCCACCCCCACCTGGATCTCCCATTCAAGCTTCAAAGTCCTGGGAGGGAACATCTGATTGGCCAAGTGGATCAAGCAAACATGCCAGGGGGCCCTGTGTGCGCTGGCCTGGCTTCTGGGAGGGGAGGGCCCAGCAGCCTCCGGTTTGCCTGGCTCCTCCTGCAACCAGTAAATGGGCCCCTGGCAGTGTGCCAGGCTTGTTGGAGGGAAACCAAGGCCCTGCAGAAAGCAGTTGAGGAAGATCCAGTACTTACAAGGCCAGGTTTTGAGCAGGTGAGGAATAAGCATCATCTGAGGTTAGTCCTGAGGCTCCTGAATCAGGAAAGCTGGTGCGTCCAGAAGATCCAAGTTTGGCTGCAGGTGCCCTGGCCAGACTGGTCAGTGTCAGTCACACCAGCTCCCTAGAGAGGAGGGTGGAGGTACCACAGGAGCCCTGTGCGTGGCGAAAACTATTCAGGGCTCCTTTCAGAATGTGGGCTTGTTCTTCTCAAGAAATTCTTTTGTTGTGTTTCTGAGATCTAGCAATAAAGGACCCATTTAGTGAAAAGAGTAACAGTTAAAAGGATAGCTAACATTTAGGAAGCGCTTACCAGGAGCAGGCACAACCCCATTATCTCTATTTTATAAATCAGGAAACTGAATCACACAGAGGCCACTCGCTTGCCCTGGCTTCAGAGCCACAAAGAGGCACATTTGAACCCAGGTCTCTTAACTCTGGAGCCTACACCCTTGGCCCCTGAGCAGTACTGCGTCTAGGTCTTGGTCCGATACACAGGCTGACCATATGTCCCTGCTTATGCTGGTTGTCCTGGCACAATTATTAACAGTGTCTCCTTTCACTCACCAATGTGTTCTGGTTTGGATGACCAATTTTAAGGAAAGTAGGGTAGGTGGAACCAGGATTAGCATCGCAAGATGCTGATGGGCAGAGTTTGGAAAACCCAGTCCACAGCTGCTCTCCTTGTGCCAGAACCCTGGCTCTCAGTACTCATTCTCCCAGGGTGGGTCTGTATTATATTAGTGACATGGCCTTCACTGCCCCTGGATACTCGGGCACTTTGTAAGGAAGGCTTCCAGGATTTCCATACCCCAAGGCTCTTTGTTTCTATTTGGACAAAGAGCTTAGTTTTCTCCCACCCTCCTACATCTACTTACCAGGGTCTTCTCCCTGTTTTCATACACTACCTGGCTAGGAAAGCAGCCACTGTGGTCCCTGGTGCTCCCAGGTAAGAGCAGCTATGCCCTGAGTGTTTTCCCCAGCAGTGGGTACCGAAGATTAGGGCTTTGGAACCTTCTTGTCCATACTTGCAGGTGAGTCCTGGAAGCAGAGGCCTGGGCTCTCCACTTGGACTTGGCTATCCTGGACAGAGTGCTGATGGAAAGAATGATATTGGGTGCCATCTAGCTGGGTACTGGGGAGTCAGAATTGAATGAGAGGCAGTCCTTTCTTCAAACTGTTCACAGGCCAGAGGGAGGGCAGACTCTGCTACAAAATCAGCCCTACAGTTAATAAGTAAAGCTGTGGGCACAAAGTGCATCTCAAGCACAAAAGAGGAAATGAACAGAGAACGTGTATCAGTCAACTATTGTCACAACAATGCTGCATAACAAATGACCCCATAATTCAATAACTTACTGTTACAAGCATTTATTTCTGGCTCATGTGTCTGCACACTGACTGGGGCAGCCCTGACAATTTCAGCTGGGCCTGGTTAGACTGGCTCCTGGGCATGGATTACATGGAGGTCTACCCTGCCTCTCATTCTCCTGGAACCACTAGGCCATGCAGGGAAAGGTGTGCTTGTGGCAATGGCAGAAACACGAGTGGGTGGGCTCTTCCACCAGCTCATGCCAAGGCTGTACTCCACGTTTTGTCTCCAAATATCTCATTGGCCAAAGCAAGTCACATAGCAGAGCCCAGGAGCAAAGGGGCCTGGAGGTATACCACTGCCAAAGTGGGAAGGCAGAGAAGTAAATATTTGCCAAGCAATAATCCAGAACATACAAAAGGCTTCACAGAGGAGGTGTCATTTGACCTTGGTCTTGAAGGAGAAGTTGGGTTTTTCCAGGTGAATATGGGATTAGGCACTGCTGTCAAAGGTATGAAGTGTGTGTGTGTGTGTGTGTGTGTGTGTGTGTGTGTGTGTGTGTTGGGGGCGGGTGCTGTTAGGGTAGTGGTGGTGGCCTGGTCACAGAGGCCCCCTGAGCCAGAAATCTGGCATGTCCTTTCTTTGAAAACAAGGCACTTCCCCGGTGGTCCAGTGGTTGAGACTCTGTGCTCCCAATGCAGGGGGCATGGGTTGGATCCCTGGTTGGGGAACTAAGATCCTACATGCTGCATGGTGCGGCCCAAAAAAAGAAAACAATACTCTCTGGGTTCCCCACCCTAGTCATTTTCTTTATTTCCAAATTCTAAGACTTCAACTATGTGCAACCAAATACAAGTTGAAGACTCTGTCCAGCAAGGAGTCACACTGGAAAGTATTAGTGCTTGTTCCTACATTGGGGATTTATGCCAGTTTCACTGGGCATAAATCAGCCGATTTTATAGCCCGCCCACCCCCTTTTCAGAATTGAGGCCTCCAACCTTGCTCCTAGCAGCCACCCCTCTTGGCTGTGACCACCAAAGCCCTCCCTGAACAGACTTCTTGGGGACAAGTCAAGTCAAACATGAGGTGAATCAAAGTCAAGAACTCAAGAATGGAGGGCTGGGAAACCCACTCTAAAAGGACTGGCAGTGAGCAGGGGACCCGCGCACGCACAGAGCAGGGGCCAAACAATGGTGGGAAGGATGGTTACAGGACAGGATGCAGGTAGTTACAAACCTTGACAATGTAAAAATAAGAACTCACAACATTTGGGAGGGGGGAAGAGATAGGAAGTGGGTGAGCTCATTTCCTCATCCTAAATCCACAGGCTGTCAAGAGATGCCATCTACAGTTGAAGCATATTTCAAGAATGAATTCAGTCCCTGGGTATTTTTCTTTCCTTTTAATTATTTGCAGCTTGGCAATTTCTTTAGTTACATTTAGGCTTCTTCTTTTTTTTTTTTTTTTCCTTTCTGTTAAACACTTTTCCCAAAAAGAGCACGTACCGTGTGAACACTTTTTGGTAAAAATTTCCATCAATCTACCTGTCCTTTTCTCTGAATAGGTGCATAGACAGATGTCTCCCTCGATGCTTCTGGGGGTGCTGGCCTTCCAGAGCACTTGAAAATTTTCTTTTTTGTGCTCTTCAGTGTTACTGGAAGTTCTTTCTTTTTATTTATTTGGCTGCTGCTGGGTCTTAGTTGCAGCACGCGGGATCTTTTAATTGCTGCATGTGGTCTCTTTTAGTTGCAGGGCTCTTTTAGTTGCAGCATGTGGGATCTAGTTCCCCCACCAGGGATCGAACCCGGGACCCCTGCATTGGGAGTCTTAACCACTGGACCACCAGGGAAGTCCCTTGAATTTCTTACAATGTGCGTTCACTATTATTGTAGAAGCAAAGCCTTTTATTTAAAAACTGAAAATACATTTCTGGAAAAGAGAAAATCGGGCGCTCCCTTCTGGCTCGTGCTTCCTGCGTGTGCTGCCGGACCGTCTGTTTCCCGGGTGGGTGAGGGGGTCAGTCCAGCCCCTGGGAGGCGTGGGTGCGTGGCCCGGGCACCGGAGGCCCGGCGGCGCCGCTTCCCCAGCTCCACCAGCACGTTTGAACCTTGGGGACCCGGCCGCGTGCAGGGTCTGTGCTCCACGTGTCGCCGGGTGACTCTGTGCTGCTCTGGGCCTGCTTCCTCATCCGGAAACCCGAGAAGCCATCCTTGGCCTGCCTCACGTCCAGGCTGCTGTGAGGGATGTGTGATGTGCAGGGTCTGAGTGTCCACAGTGGAGCGGTCACCAGAGAGACATTAATACACTCTGCCATCATAGGATTCGATTCTAAGCCACGGTACCGCCACCCCAGGCTAAAGGTTAAATTGGAGAGGAGAAGGTCAGGTGGCACTGCCGGCTTTTTCCAGGTCCCAACAGCCACTCTATGCTGCAGCGCCATCTAGTGTCCACATGGGGACACCGGCCCATATAACTGGCTTAGGGTAAAATTTCCATACTTACAAATGGTAAAGGGCTCGTTAGGCAAACAGGACCTAAATACGACCAGTTTAAAACACTCCTCCCCATACAAAGGTTTGGTATTTCAAAGCAAGCATTATACAAATTCAGCACTTATAAAGATGTGTGCATCCTTTGTTTGAAAGGACAGCAAATTCGTGCAACAAGTGATATTTATAATAATTGACATTTCTTGAGTGTTTACGATGTGCTTGGCACAATTCTAAGTGCTTTCATTATGAGTTCATTGCACCCTCTACAAAGCTGTGAAACCAGGGTGGGGTTGGAGGTACTTATTGTTTCGCTTTAAGATAAGAACCCTGGGGCACACAAAGGTAAAAGTAAAACCTGTCACTCTGCTAATTTCTGAGGGGAGGCAGAGGCTGCCTAGTGGGCCAGGGAGGAGGAGGGAGCCAAATGGGAAGCTACTGCCAGGCTCAGGAGAGGGAGAATGGGGGCTGAGACAGCCCTTAGGGACTCAGGCTGGATCTGAGGGGAGGAGGAGAGCTATGCGGAAGGGCTCGCTCTCCAGCTTGAGCATCAGGGTAGTTAGAGGCTGTGATCCGAGAGGGCGGACAGTAGTTAGCAGTTTGAACATATTTACAGTAAGTCCCCTACATACAAACCTGCAAATTGCGAACTTTCAAAGATGCAAACATATATCTGGTTGCAGCAAGGAACCTGTGCCATCAGCGTCAGGTGTGAGTGACGTTGCAGCTCGCCCTTCGACTCCTATTGCTGACGATCCTTCAGCTCTAGCATCTCCCACCTCCTCTCCCTCCTCCAGTCAGTAACTCTTCTTGCCTGTTCACTCGATGCCAGCCCCTGGATGCCAGCTGTTGTACTGTACTACTGTACTTCTCAAGGTTCTGTACTGTAAGATTAAACATGTTTTCTTTGGGCTTCCCTGGTGGTGCAGTGGTTAAGAATCCGCCTGCCAATGCAGGGGGCACAGGTTCAAGCCCTTGTCTGGGAAGACCCCACAGGCCGCGGAGCAACTAAGCCCATGCGCCACAACTACTAAGCCTGCGCTCTAGAGCCTGCGAGCCACAACTACTGAGCCCGCGAACCACAACTACTGAGCCCGTGCACCTAGAGCCCGTGCACCACAAGAGAAGCCACCGCAGTGAGAAGCCCGCGCACCCTGTGCACCGCAATGAAGAGTAGCCCCCACTCGCCGCAACTAGAGAAAGCCCGCGCGCAGCAACAAAGACCCAAGGCAGCCAAAAATAAATAAAATTTTTTTTAAGTTCTATTGTTTGTTTTTGTTTTTTATGTATTATTTGTGTGAAGAGTATGATAAACCTATTACAGTACAGTACGATATAGCTGATTGTGTTTGTTGTGTACCTAGGCTAACTTTGTTGGACTTGCGAATGAGCTCTCAGAATGGAACTCGCTCGTATGTAGGGGACTTACTGTATTGAGCACCTACTACATGCCAGGCACCGTGGCTGTAGAATTCAGGTAGAAGACACGGCCCCTGTCCTTGCAGAGTCGAGAGCCCCGTGGGAAAGGCCGGTGTCCCAGGTGATGTTGAACGCTTGCCGGTGTCCACAGATCTGTGAAGGATGGTGCAGCGGGCCGCACGGGGTGGAGTGCGGGTGGGCCTGCGCTGACAGGCACGTGGGGTAGGAGGCTGGATGTGGGAGGTCATCAGCTTGGAGGTGACGGCCTGGGGACAGTGGGTCTGAGAGAGGAGATGGCAGGGGAGGAGGGTACACATCGGAGATGGATATGCCCTGAGAGAACAAGAGGAAAAGGATTTACTAGAGCTGGAGAGAGGATCTGGGGGGAAAGGGAGCGGCCTCAGGGCTCAAATGTCAGGGGAGGGCCAAGGAGGAGAGGGACTGGACAGGCCAGAGGAGTTGAGAAGGGAGCTGAGCATGAGCGACTCTTCCAGGAAGGGAGGGAGGGAGGCAGGGCCGTGGTTGGAGGATAGTGTTGTTTCATTGTTTGTTTTTAGCAAGGAGGAGACCATCTACAGGCTGAGGGGAAAGAGCCACTGGAGAGGATGAGAAGGAGGCCTGGCGGAGGGCAGGGAATCCTTGGAGGGAGCACAGATCAATCACACATGAAAAAGGAGAACCAGGTAAGGCAGAGGGGAAGGTGGGAAGGATGGGTATAGATTTGGGCAAGTTTACCAGGAAAAAGAATGGAGTGGGGAGCAGGTGGGAGCAGCTGGGACGCGGAGGGAGCTGCCCCCTGAGGGCTTGGAGTTCCTGGTCATGAGGAGAGCAGGGCCCTGATGAGGGCCTTGAGGAGAGGAGAGGTCTGGAGTGCCCCTGGGTGGCAGGAGAGGGACGGGGTTAAGGGACAGTGTGTGGTGGTTGGTTCTGGCGGGACTCCTGGCAGAGAAATTTTCAGGATCAGAGCAGAGGAGGGCTGGTGAGGGTGTCATGAAGGCCTCTGACCCCGTGGGCTAGGCCGGGGAAGGAAGGGACAGGAGAGGACAGGCAGACTGAGAGGAGGGACAAGGAACAGAATCCTCGGTGGGGTCAAATAACAGGGTGTGTGTGGACCAGAGTAGAGATGGTGGCTCAGGAAGTTGGGGTCAGAGAAGGGATTTCTAGGATTTCAGAAGAGTCACCTTTATGACAAGCCCTGCATGTGGCTGGGGAAGTGGGTCTCTGAAGGCAGCTGAGGCTGTTTGCTGTTGGATAGGCCAGGGCTGTGGGCCCTGCTGGGACATGGGGAGGGGGTCTGGGGGTAGAAAACAGAGTCCAAGTCTTTGGTGAAACGGGAGAAAGGGCTAAAGATCCGGTACATGAGGCAGAGTAGCATCAGTGGCCTGAACCTCAGAAGGGGAGGGGTTTTAGGGGAGGGCAGGCGGGGGGTCTGGAAGGGGCGCCAGCAGGGGGAGCAGAATCCTGAGCCCCTACAATGATGTCTCTGTCCTGGGTCCACGCGGCTTCAAAGGAACAGCGTGCCTCCACTTCCTTCTGAACTTCTCTCAGGACTGGGCGCAACAGCAAGTATTAAGAACACGTGAGAAGCGGGCCACGGACCAGAAATCTCTAACTGCAGGCTGAGCTGAGCGAGGAGGGCTCTCCGCCAGTTCACCTCACCCGAGGCTGAAGAAAAACACCAAATGCACAAACAACCTTATTGTGCTGCTTTTAATTACGAAAGATGTAAAATGATGCATTATAAAACTTGGAAGCTACTTTGTACAAATTCCAATCTTTAAATATTGTTTAACAAGGAACCTGGGAACTAGGATACTGGCGGGAAGTCTGATTAGTCGCTGTGATGGTTCCATCACGAAGCAGTGGAAGACACACGCTCGGAACCGTCTGTGCATGAATCAGAAGAGCCGATGAGAGGCGGAGCTGGAAATGTCTTCAAATATGCAAATGGACTGGAATATAGATTTCAGCTCGGGTAATATACAGTAGACTTAGGAGAAATGAAACAGGACAATGGAGAATTCATGTTGATCTTGACATCGTCAAAGTTTCTCCTGACACTGTATGTCCTGAAAACCACAAACGTACAGAAGGGAAAAATAGAAAATACAGATAGGTTTTTAGTGCTATGCTGTTTAACTGCTAGTAAATGAGAGTAGTACAACCATCGATTTCTTGTGAAAAACTAAATACTGAAAAATAGTTTACTCTGAAGTCTGCAGCCACTTCAGATGCCGAGGACCACGCCTGGTTTGTTGCAAAGGCAGCAGTGAGAAGGTCAGGGCGACTCCTGTCCATGGGTGTCCTTGACACCATGTAAGCAACGTGGGTTATATAATGCCCAAAACCTTTTCACAGGAAAAGATGGGATGGATGGACCTCAGGACAAATTGAATTCAGTGCTAAACCTCACTGTCATCATTATACTACCCCAAACAAGTCACTTTTCCCAGGAGCCTCCATTTCCACGAGTCCCTGGCGAATGCCCAGGGGGAGCACACTTCGTCCTGTAGGTCTCAGGGTCTCCAGCTGTAAGACTGGGCTGCTGTGCAAAGAGAGTTGGGACCCTGACACTAGTGATCCCCGTGGGTAAGGCACTGTGTAAAGAGCAGATTATCCTGGAACCTCCATTGTTCAAAAAAAACCTCTGAGAACATCAGCACTTCTCCCTGTCTGAAAGGCCAGATCGGATTTGGGGGTCTCTGACACAGGAAAGGCAGCCAGGATCTGGCTTCTTTTGGCACACTGGGGTGCTGGGTACGATGAAAGGCCCTTTTACTTTAACAAAAAGTCACTGCCCTCTGAGACTGGGAAGTTTAATGGGAAATATGGCTTCGAAGGGGAGGCCAACTGCCTCTCGCTGAGCCAGAGCTCAGGCAGGGAGGACTCTGGTTTGACTTCCTAATTCAGTAGCAGGGGTTCAGGGTGAACGTGAGGTGGGAAGACTTGGGCTCCAGTGAAGATGGAGCAGTGCACGATCGAGGTTACTGGAAAGACTGGAGGGAAGGGATCCCCCTGAAGACAGAAGGAAATGGGACAAGGTCTAGAGAGGTTAACAGCCCAGGACGCTGTGACAGACCCCTCCGGCCACCAGGCACACGTGTCAGATTCAGACCCACAAGGTGCAGCCTTGCTTCTTTGGGTGGGAGCAGTCTGGACCCTTCAGCAACACCCCTGGTGTCTCCTGGAAGGACACCGGCTGTCTGGGCAAAGGCTCCGGCATCTTCATCCCTCCTTCAGTGTGTCTGTCCTCTCTGTGCTGTCTACCCATGCCCGCATTTGGCCCCGTTGCCCACCCTCCTCCCCAGCCGGCTTCCAATCCCACCCATCAGGTTTCTGGTCAAGGGCTGGCCTGGACTAAGTCAGAGGGGGCAGGTGGTGGTGGAAATATAGTAATACTGTTTTGTGCTAAGAAACTGATGACTAATGATGGTTTCATAAATTAGGCCTTCATTTTACTATAGACTATTTCTTCAACCTCAGAGAATGAATCTCTTCCTAACACAATCGAGAGCAAAACCTGGGTCTGAGAGGGAAGATCTTTTGCGGTGGCCAGGACCCCCGAGGTCCCGGCAGGTGGGAGGCCTCAGTTTGCTGACCCACTGTGGATGCACTCAGAAGACAGTTTCCACCTACCTGCATACTCTGGGAGAGAACAGGGCGTGCAGTCTAACCGTGGATTTGGTCACCTAGTGTTAAAAGCATATTAAAGTGCGTGCTTAACTTAACCACAGGCACAAGTGTTAGAAAAGCTGAAGCTCTGAGAAGATTTGGTAAGGAACAGAAACAGTGAAAGATTAGACTGCCTCACAGCAAAGCAGATTCATTCATTCGTGCATGCATTCACTCATTCACGTGTGCACTGAACGCACGGTTCTGCAGCACCTGCCCAGCGCCAGGCACTTGTTAGGTGCTAGGGGTTCGATGATGACTAAGGCACAGTCCCTGCCCTCAAGGAGCTTACGGTCTAGTGGGGTTATATGAACCACCCCCATTCCACAGAGAAACAGCTTCCCTTTGCTGCTGCGCAGCTGCTGGGTGGGCCCAATCTAGACCTCCAGCCACCCCCTCCAGCTGGTCTGTAGAGAGGGAGGCCTGTACGGTCCAGAACTTGTCTGGAGGACTTCGTGTGTCTCTGAGATAACTGCAGCCCCCTTTCTCTCTTCCCCAGCCTCTAAGAAGAAGCACCGTTCTCTTCAGGCTCATCTATCACCAGGGGATTTTTTTTTTTTTTTTCAGTGACTGAATAAAATAGTCTTCCTTTTCCTCTTGTCCATAGGAAAAGGGGTTCTGAAGCAGCAGAAAAGAGATTACAAACTGAGGGGGGGGGGACAAATTAGAATTCAGTTTGCTTAACTCAAGTCTGTTCTTGGACTTGTGGTAAAAAGCCTTCTTCATGTTAGAATTGAGGCCTCTGAGAGAGCCCTGGCCCTCCGCTCTGCCCTGGAACATCCTGCCGCTGCTGAGGCACGATGGCTGGATCAGAGAAGGCATCGTGGGGCTGTGGTACCGTTGCTGGATGCTGAGCGAACTTCCGAAGGCCTGTGGCCCCTAACCGCCCCCCACTCCGGGTCCTTTCTTCAGTGTTGATTGAGATCAGTGGTTCTGAGCACTACACAAGGCTACTGAGGCCTCTCGCTATATTTTTACACACCCATTAGATGGCCAGTAAAAGATGTAACGGTTGTGGTGACGACCAATTCATCGGAAGCCCCAGAGCAGCCTGCCTGCAGCAACAGGACCTGTGCCGCAGGCCTGAGGGGCGGCGCCCAGCTCTGTGGTCTAGAATGAGCCACGGCGTCTGAGATGGGACCTTGTCTGCGAGCTGGGAGCCAAGGAATTGGTTCTTTCCGTGTCAGAGCCCGTGATAACTAACGCCCAGGGCTGCAGCTGGCTCCGTCCTATTCCGTTCTGTCTCAGAAACAGCCCTCCCGCCCCGTTCCTTTCTGTTCACAGTCGGTCAGCTCGAAGTGCCTCTTCAATAGAGGGGTCGAGCAGGCCCAGGCTGGAATCACTTAGCATGCTGAGTCCGTCCAGGCTCAGGGGTTCGATCTGGAGCTCTTCTTCCAATGGAAACGGAGTGTCCACGTTTAGGTTGACCTCGGGCATGCCTGCCAGAGCACTGCCGAGGTCTTTGAACAGGCTGGTGCTCGAGTCTTCTGGAAAGGGCAGCGGGAGGGGAAAACAATGTGGATTAGGAGGCGTGAGGGCCCAGGTCACTAAGAGGACACAACTGATGACAACCCCCAAAATGCCGTTCCTGTCATCTTCCCAACCAGGACAGTCATCACCTGTGTCCCAACCACTCCTGGGCCTACGGTTTTGCTCTGGAATCTATGTTCTTTTCAGTCAGTCCCACAACTCCCAGTTTTGCAGGTTTTCTCCCTTGGAACAGTTGTCAATCACAGGAAGTTACGTAGTTCGGAAAAGACTTGGGTCACCAGGCCCCTTCCCTACTGCCTCACAGTCTCTGGGGCTGGACACCTGCATCTCAGAAAGGTAAAGTTTCATTTTCTGCTTCATATAATGTTATGTTGTCTAAACTATCTTACAGTGGTATCTGTAGAAACACAGTGAAATAAAAGAAGCAGCACTCACCTGTCAGGATGGTGTTTGGGAAATTCCCGCAGTTGGAATACAGGTTTGGTCTCAAATGAAAGGAGTCCTGTGGTTCTCGGGGACAGTGTTGCACCAGGGGCACCTGGAAACAACAAAGGTCACGTTGTAAGGGACGGTCTCTGTTTCCAAGGACAGAACAGTGCAGTGTGCTCCCGGAGCAAAACCAGACGTGAACGCTCTCTTACAGTCCCTTCTCTCTAGGATCCCAGAGTGCCTGGCCGCTGTGACAGGCTACACAGAACATTCTGCTCAGGCAGGGGGATGCTGCGGTAGAGGAGGGGTCCCTGAGGGCCACACTTGTCCCTGTTTGCACACTGCCTGGCCCTCTATCCCATCCCAGGAGACACCACTGGCCATGGTTTCTGCGGGCCCTCTGGTCTCAGCCACCTCCCCTGCTCAGCACACAAAGGCCTCTGGAAACTACCACCTGTGGAGCCCTTCAAAGGCCCTGTCTGTAACCAAGGAAGTGATGGGCTCTTTTCCTCTCTGGTTTCTAGAAAAATGAGAAAGCAGAACCTTCTCCTTCTCTCACTCAGAGGGAGGAACCACAGGCAAGCCCCTCTCTGTGAGAAAGCCTCTATGAGGATGGGTTAGAACTGGCGCCTACTTTATTTTTTTTATTTTTTTGTTAATGAAAATTTATTAACTATATAACCTTTGAGTACCAGAGAAACTTCAATATGTACAGATCACCATGAAGTTCCCAGTTTCTGGGGCCTACTTTAGGTGCCATTCCTGAAATTAATTTTTAAACCATTTAAAAAAATCTTTCAAAAGTAGGAGTTTCCATCATTTTTTCAGAAACACATTGACTCACCTAGACTCAAATGGCTTCTTTAGAAATTGGGGAGGCAGGGACTATTGGTTCTTACCACGAGGCTTCCCCATGGCCTATTCAGGAAACATCTGTCTTTATTTATTTTACTGTTATTATTATTAAGTTCTGGAAAGTGCTCTTCCTCCTCTCCATAATATATCCTGGAGCCCAAACCATAATTATTGAATATTATAAAATCTAGGGAAATTAAAAAATGGTCTGTGTTAGGGAGAAACTGAAAAGCAAAAGAAAAAGCCTGAATGAAAGTACCTTCAGGATTGACCCCTGCCCCAGCCAGGACGAGCTCCCAGGAGGCCACACACTGTGCAGGGCACAGCAACTCAGGCCGAGGCACAGCCCCTCCCTGGGTCTGAGTCTCCTCATCATGATAGATAGATCTGTGAATTGCTACGGTTCCTTCCAGCATCAATGACTCTACAATTCTATGGCTAGAGTGTCATCACAAGTCTTCTACCACTTGTTCAAACAGGTCCTCTGCTAAGGCCTGACAATTAAATAAGGCAGCCAGCACCAGCCTCTAGGGCCTGGGGCGGTGCCAGGCTCTCCTAGCCGATGAGCACACCTGAGGTCAGAGAAGTGCAGTACCGAGTCTGTTTGGTGTGGGTTCCACGCACAGAAGAGGCCTGACTGTGGCAGTTCCTGCTCCGAGGAAGAGGCAGGCCCTGGCGACCACTCACCTGCTGAGGAAAGGCTGGGCCTGGCCTCATGGACTGCTGGTCAAAGCTCACATCTGGGAAGAAGTTGGTCAAAGAGGAGCCCTTCAGGAAAGAAGGAGGGGACCATTTAGCTTGGAACTTGGGGCGACCTAAGCGTTCCCTCCTCCTGGTGTTCCCGGTGGGACTCACCTGGGCCGCGAGGAGCTGGAAGTCTGACTGGGGCAGCGATGGGGCTGCCTGGGGCTGCTGAGCAGCGGGCTCCTGGGCGTGGGGCTGCTGCAGCAGAGGCTGGGGGAGGTCCTGGGGCGTGGGGTAAGGAGGCGGGGATGACACTTGGGCTTGAGCTTCTGTGGGCAGGAAGGAGAGCGGGCTTCGATCTGAGGACACCATCTGAAAAACAAAGCCACCAACTACTTAGCTTCTGAGTTTCTAGCAGTAAGTCCTTTATGATTAGGAAATGTCAAAGTGAGGAAAAACCCTGAGATTTTCCTCACCCTGATAGTCTATACTATGCTCTGAGAAGCCCAGTTCTGTATCCTTCAAAGTATATCTCAAATCTCACTTCCCCACAAAACATTTTCCATTCAACGACAATTTCTATTGTCTTAAAAAACAAACAAAACAAAACCCAGCCAAGTTAACCAGTTTCATCTCAGTTTTCTCAGTGAAAATCGTGTTTGTTTTTTCACAGCCAAAACTTCTGGTTAAAAATGGAAGACTGAAAAAAGCATTTAGCTCTGCTGTCTCCCAAAACTCTCCTAAAACCCCTAAAACAACATTAAACAACCATAAACATTAATAAACAACACTAAAACATAAACAACATGAAAGGATAAGTAACAACACGAGGACAAAGATAATGAGAAAGAAGAAAATGGCAACAAAATTTGGAAAATGAAAAGCAGATGGACAAGTAGTAGCAGGCTGAGCAGAGCTGAGAAAGCCAAATGCTAAGCTGGCAGTGGGGAAAATCAAGAGACACTCTGGTTTACATCACAGAATCCCTAAAGGGGTCTGGAACCGGGGCAGCAGGCAGCAGCGGGTGAAGATGGAGCTAAACCTGGAGGAGCTCGTGGGCAGCAGTTAGGTTCCAGGACCCTTGCACGGCGGGAGACTGAGGGCTGTGCTCTGGAGAGAGTACAGCTCAGGGTCTCTGGCTGGGGTGCACCAGACCCTAGAAGGCAAGGCACTCCTGAAAACACAGGGCTTATGAGAAAGGCCACTATCGCATCTTGAGTCCTCCACCTCTCTTTCCCAACTCAGCTCTCAGAGTGCTGGGATCCAGGCACATGCCAGGAGCAAGATCGGGATAGCATCCTTCGGGGATCTGACCAGGCTGGGAGAAAATCCAACTTATGACACCAGAGGTTCCCTAAGGAAATGGCTGAGCTAGATCACTCTACCATGAAGACCATACTCAACAAGCCCACCCACCTACACAGAGCTTCCAATCAGTTTTTGTGTGTGTCTATCCTGTTCATAAACACGAGCAGGGTGCCAAGGATCACCAGACCATGAGGAAAGCATGTGAATGAAAGTTAGAGACCCAAGCAGACAAACTGAGAAAAGAAACTTGGAGAAGTCTATGTAGGAAGAAGTAGTCATGAAAAACAACATTATCATTATAATATTTAGAGCTATTAAAAAATCCTTATCTGTTAGAAATACATATTAAGCTATTTGTAATATGTACCTCTATATACATTTTTTTAAAGTAGGGATATGGAGGACTTCCCTGGTGGTCCAGTGGTTAAGACTCCACACTTCCAATGCAAGGGGCGTGGGCTCGATCCCTGGTCGGGGAACTTAGACTCCACGTGCCGTGCGGCACAGCCAAAACATATATACATATTAAAAAAAAGTAGGGATACAGATAAAACAAGATTATAAAAATGCTGATGATTGTTGAGGCTAGATGATGGGTATAAAGGATTCATTATATTATGTTCTCTACTTCTATGCAATTTGGAAAATTCGTATTACAAAAAATAAAAATAAAAGAAACCGGAATAAAAATTACCACTAAAAACCTCAAAGAGATCAAAGATGATATGGTGTCCATGGAATAAGTATGACGCTATAAAAAAGGAACATTCAGAGAAGAAGAACAAAAAAAATTCTTGGCAATTTAAAAGTATGAGAGCAGACATGAAAACCTCAACATAAGCATGGAAAATAATGGTGAGAAACTCTTCCAGAAAGAAGAGAAAAAAGACAGAGAGAGAAAAGAGGAGAGAAAAATAAGACGTTAGAGGAAAAGTACAGGATATCTAACATTCATACATTCAAGAGAAAACAGAGAAAACTGAAGAGAAGAAATCGTTGAAGAAATAATTAAGGAAAATTTCCCAGAAATGAAGGCAATGAGTTTCCAGATTGAAGAAACTCACCAAACAGCCAGACTCATATCAAGCCACATTATCTTCAAGTTTCAGAACACTAGGGACAAAAAGAAGATCCCACAAGCCTCTCGAGGGGAAAAAAAAGGAGATTTAATTCAAAGTATTAAAAATCAGAATGGAAAAAAAAAAAAGAATCAGAATGTCATTGGAATTCTCAATAGCAACTCTAGAAACTAAAAGGCAATGGATTAATACCTTCAAAATTTCAAAAGAAAATTATTTAAAATTTGAATTCTATGCTTAGCCAATTATTAGTTAAATGGTGGGCAGAATGAAGACACGGTGAAGTCACACCAGGTCACATGTACTCTTTCTTGTAAAGCTACTAGAGGATTCATTTTTAACTGTATTGAGAGGAGATCTACCCAACCCTGAGAGTTTGGGATTGAATAAGTAATACATACAGAGAAAAAAGTAAGACATTTATTAATTCCCAGGAGAAAAAGTTGTTCATTTTGTTATTTCACAGTAAACTATGGTTCAACTCTGATTGCATTATTATAACCATGAAAACACTAAACACTGAGTATTGCTCTAAACAAAACTATAATAAACCACATTGTGAAGATGAGGAGGGTGAGTAGGAAATACGTGTGGGGAGTGGGGAGTGAGGGGATTGGGGGAGTTTAAAGAGAACTAACCCCTAATCTTCCATGGTAGGATGTCATTAGATAGTACTTAACACTAAAAATCTAGAACAAAATAAGCATGAAATAATGCTGATATACCAAAGAGAGTAGCTAAAATGGTCAAAAGTAGCCATCTCCAGGCAGTGAGAAATATGGCTAGTCGGGGAGGGAGGGGAAGACAACTGTAATTTCACAACAAGCCCTTTAGAAGTATTTGACTTTTTAAATTATGTGCATGAATAACACTGATTTTTAAAAGAATATTTTAAAATATTAAGCAAACAAAAATATCTTTAAAAGGATGCTTTTTATCTCTCCTTAAAATGTAACTAGAAAGAAGGAGTAATATTTTTATATCCTATAAAATAATCGTGCAAAATAGAATTAAAGGCAATCCAATAACATGAAAATAAGCACTAAAAAACCAATTATGAAATACCCTCTTACCCTCTTCCGAAAGGGATTACTCATATAATAAAAATCCCGTAGCTACTAATTGGTAAAGAGTGACTAATAACTGGACCTGCTAACTCCTTCTGCTGTGCTCTGTCAACTCTTTCTTGCTAAATCATTACTCATTTATAGTGAAGTGGTAAGTGATGTTATAATGTATCTAGGGAGTGACCAACAGGTTAAGAACATATTCATTCATGATGGTAGTAAGAGCCACCCTAAGAACTTAGAATAGAAACAAAGTCAACAAGTCAAAATATGACCTTCCCACCCTAAATTTCTGTAACAGGCTTGTGACTTCAAAATGTGCCTCTTTCTAAACAGATTTATTTGGGTCCTTTTACAGAGATATGATCCTATTGTACCTAGTATTTCATCAACAATAGAAGTATTGTTGATGAAATCTGTTGCTGTAATTAGGGAAGAGGTCTAATCCAATATCAAAGCTTCAGGAAGGTATTTAAATGTCTTCCTTGGCTTTCCTCTGTGGCTCAAAGTGCTCATAGAGTCAATTATTGATTTTCCATACCAAATTTAAAATCCCAACCTGGCTTCCCTTAGCTATTTCAGACATGCCTGGATTGTGCCCTCTACACCCGACCCTTCCCTCCAGCTCCAACTTCACCAGAGTACTGCAAACTGTTCAGCGTTTGCTTAAGAGCAATCAACACAACAAATCTGCTGTTGGAAAATCATTAGTGCATTCTGAATCATTTGATTTCGCACAGAAGTGAGAACTGACCGCATTTCAGACCTCACAAGACAGTGCTCGGTGTGAGGACCTAATCCAATTCCTAACTGCTTCAGTCTGTTTCGCTGTTCGTTTGCTTTTACCTGCGAGGCAGGATATGGCTTCAGTGGGCTGGTTGAAGAGAGCTGTCGGCTGAAACTTTGATGCGCTTCGGGGCCAGGAGAAAGCGTGAGAGGGCTGACGGGAGGCTGCCTACGCCGAGAGGGGCCACTCAGGTTTGTGGTGGAAAGAGACGGGTTGCTAAGGGAGAAGAGACGGAGCGAAGAGTGAAGCGCAGAGGCGTTGGGAGCAGATGCCTGTGGGCGGCTGTTTAGGGAAGAGGAAAGCACTGTCTTATTGAGCGTGGCCTGGATGGAGGGGTTGCTTCGAGAACTCTGCAGACCTAGAAGACAACACATTCACAAGTTACTTGTCATAATTTCAGACCAAATCTTCTGTTTTCCAAAGATTAGAGAAAACTCGACTTCCTACTATTTGTATTTGATGATGATTCTGTATGAGAAGGAGCTCTGGGCAACTCTCCTACTGAAAATGGTACCAACGGCAAAGAAAAGGTACACTCAGACTGAGAGGGACGATGCCATCAAGATGAGAATGGCTTTTTCTCAGGAAGGAGACTGTGTAAATCACACTGGGAGAGCAGGACTAGGTAAGCGGGGTGGGGGCAGCAGAGGTGAATGTTCAGTGTACTCTGTTCCCACCCAAGGAACAGACCCCAGGGCTGGACAACCAATTCCGTGCAGGGCCCCTGGAAGCCTCTGTCCAGTGTACCACCTGGCCAGGTACCACCTATGGTTAAGCCACCAGGGGACACAGACAAGGTCCTTATGGAGTGGGGAATACTTACCAGAAGAGCTTCTTATGCCCAGGTGAGTCATGGCAGCGGGAAGGTTGCCCACACTGTTCCCCACACTCATACTACCAAAGAGGTGGTCACTGGTGTCCAGGGAGGTGGGCAGGGGCACTGAGTAGTGGAGGTTGGTTAGATCTGGCAACGACCCCCCAGTGTTCAGGGTTCCCAGAAAGGGTGAGAGGCCCATGTTTTGACCACTGTGTGGAAAAGCGCTGAAAAAAGAAAGATAAGTATTACTTTCTAAAATGCATTCCGCTGCTCTGGGGAACAGGACATGTATGATACTTTTCCTTGTTCAGTAAAAGCAGTTGGAACCAAAGATCTAAGTCCTTGTGTAGACTCTGCCTCTTCCTTGTTCTGAAAACTTGCATCCTTGGCTTAACCTCTCTGAAGTGCGATTTGCTTACCTGGTATGTTGGACTAAGGATGCCCACGTTACAGGAATATTTTCCAAGATAAGAGTAGATTATTAATGCAAAAGTACTTTGAACATTATAAAGCACTATATAAAATGTGAGGCACTGCTTTCTATTTATTCCGTTCCTTTTGCTACATTGCTAAATTATCTTTCCTACCAAAAAAAGTATCTCTGTATCAACCAGATGCCTTCCAAGATGTATTTTTTCAATTACAGTTTTCATAAACTTTAAAGTGAGAAAGAGATGTGACCATTCCTTTGTCAGAATCTGTTGGGTGGTCACTCTGTGCCCAGGCACTGGGCTAACTGCTGGAGGTGGGATGATGAATGAGCAGGGAGTGTGCAGGCCTGGAGCAAGAGTACAAACGGAGGCCTAGTACACCGTCTAGTTTAAATTTTTTAAAGTTATAAATCAAATCAATAAATCTTTAAATGAATTATGTTCTATGTTTCTGTCTTGACAAATTGTACCTTTGTAATAGCCTGGAAGGCCAGATTCAAGTTCAGAATTCTCCGACTCCTTGGAGCTCCACACTAGAACGTGCAGAGAGGCAGCCCCGACCCTCAGTCCACGCCACCATCTCTCCCCGCAGCCCTGTTCTGCACCGCAGGGCACGCTTATGGATATCCCAGCCTAGGGGCCAGCTCTGGCCAAGCTCCGCATCCCCTGTGGCTCCTTGGACTCCTTACTCCACGGGAGCAGAGACCTCTGAAGTGTGGGCCCAGGGAGGGGCTGCGTGGCCCAGGCTGAGGGGGCACTGCTCTTAGAGCTCACGGGCAGGCCAGAGACAGACCGGTAAGGCAAGCGATTGCAGTACTGCAGGAAGCTCGCTGGGCCAGGTCTGATACAAGTGACGCTGGGAACGCAGAAGCAGGAGTTGGGGTTGTGAGGATGGGTGGGGAAGGGAAGCCTTGACCAAGCACATGACCCTGTGCACATGGAACTGCAAGCAGCGCAGCACGGCCAAGGTGTCGGGGCAGAGTGGGGAACAGGGGACAGGAGATGAGGTGGGGGAGGCAGGTAAGGGAGAAAACAAGGGCATGATGACATGATGCTCTGAAGAGTCTGGGTCAGGGAAGGCAGGAGACAGGGAGCCCAGGATTAAGCTGGAGCATCAGAATCACATTTTAGAAACGCCACTGTGGTTGCAGCGTGGAGGATGGCTTAAGGGGGCAGAAAGAGAGGGGCGGGGAACCAGTCAGAAGCGCCTGTGTGGTTCAGGTATGATCTAGGAAGAGAACAAAGAGGCTGAAGAGGAGGAGAATGGTTGGAGGAAGTGCCGTTAGCCAGGAATGGGGCGGCAGGGAGAGATTATGAATTCGATTGAGGACACCGGACTCAATACAGCACACACCAGCAGAGCGCCTCCCGGGTGCCAGCCACTGGCATTAGGGCCTCAAGAGACTCGGACAGAGCAGAGAGAAAGAGCCATAAAGAAAACAACTTGCAACATAATACCATTCAGTAGAGCAGTAAGTCCCCTACGTACGAACGAGTTCCATCCTGAGAGCACGTTCGTAAGTCCAATTTGTTTGTAAGTCCAACAAAGTTAGCCTAGATACCCAACTACCACGACTGGCTATATACCACTGCTTTTACGCTTGCTTCCAGACATGCTGGGCTTGAAGTAAAGACACTGTAGGACTGTACGCTAAACAGTACTGTAAAGAACACAAAAGCACAACCACTTGTAGAGGATGCACGCACGTGACCATGTACACCAGATACGTGAACTAACTTACGTGACTGGACATGTGAACGCATGTTCACATCTTTGAGAGTTTGCAACTTGAAGGTTCGTGTGTAGGGGACTTACTGTACAGTGACAGAACCTGATGGTATAAGGTATGGAGGGAATGACCAGCAGGCTGGAGGGGGCTTCCTGGAGGACGTCTGAACTGAGTTGGAAGGCTCGAGAATTCAGACACTCTAAACAGGGAAATCATTTCAGGTAGAGTTCCCAGCACAGGCAAAGCAGAGAGGCACGTGACTATATTGTGTGCCCTAGGAACTTAGCTGCTGCAGGAAGGTCAAGTTTAGGAGGGGTGGATATGATGGGAGATGGGCCTGGAGGAGGAGGCAGAAAGCACATGAGGCTTACACTGATGCGTTGATGACAAGAAGCCAGTGGAAGGTTGAGAGCAGGGAAAAGACATCATCATTCTTAGGACAGACTTGGGGGAGGGAGGACAGGGTGTGAGAAGCAGAGCCTGGAGGCAGAGAGGTGAGTTATGCTGCTGCTGAAAATCAGACTAGACATAATGAGGGCATGGAGGTGGAGAGACAGGGAGGGCTTCTGGAGATATTTAAGCAAGTACTCAAGAATGACTCCCGATTTTCTGCCATGGGGACCGGTGGAACCACCCCTACCAGGACAGGGAACACGGAGGCACACCAGTAGACTGGGGATAAGGGTAGGTGGTGGGGTCAGACAACGAATTCTGCTTTAGACACTGAGTTTCTGTAATACGGGAGGACCTGTCATGGGATGTCTCCTGAGGACAGCTCCATCGGAACAGTGGGGGTGGAAGCCCGGCCACAGTGGGTTGAGGAATAGACAAGCAGTGAGGGGGCCTCAAGAGTAAATACTCTTTCAGAAAGTGTGGCTGAGAATTCTGGAAATGAGAAGGAAGTAACTAAATGGGAATGCAGGGTCACGGAAGGACTTTTTAGTGCAGAATCCTTAAGTATATTTAAACGCAGAGAGAAAACCCTGTAGAGAGGGAAAGGCTGAAAACATAGAAGAGGGAAGGATAAGCAGGAGAGAGAGGCCTCAGGAAGGGTCAGGGACATGGGTGAGGCTAACAGCCTTGAACAGAGGGACACCTGTGTCCCTAAGACTAGAAACAAGAATGGATGGCGAGGGGGGAAGTAGGGGCGGGAGGGAAGCTGAGCATTCATTCCTGATGGTCTCTCTTTTCTTAGTAAAAGTAGGACTGGGATAACTGTGGAGGCTTGAAAAGAAATGGGGAAGCAGGAAAGGTGTCCGATTTGATGGATGAGGAAGAAGGATGATTTTGGTTGTAGAAAAACTGAATGTGATACTTTGTCTCTCGGATGGCTGGTTGCAGTGTTAAGGCCAAGGACTAGGAAATAAACTTGAGAACCCAGAGCTGCTTGCTATGAGGGCAGATGGGCTCTCTGATTGAGAGAAGAGAGCTCCATGGGTGCTTAGGTCGGAGTGAAGGCAGAAGGAGGCGGGGGGAGGGGGGGGGGAGGGAGGCTGAACAGCGTCTGGCGGCACAGAGCAAGGATGGAGAAGGTAACTGTGACAAACACGACCCAGGTCGTCAGTGACATTCAAAGCAATTTCTCTCCAATTGAGAGGAATACAAGTTGTAACTTTCCAAATATAGTTGCGACCTGCTGGAGTCATCTCTTGGATCTGATATAAGGCAGATTATGTTCTCCCTCGTTCAAAACCCTCTGATGATTCTGACCTTACTCTGAGTCAGGCTACACCAGCCTCCATACTCTGCAGGCATGCTCCCGCCTCAGGGTCTTTGCACTCAGGGTCTTGCTGTCCCCTCTACCCTTCCCTCCCCTTCATCCAGGTTCTGGTGACATATCATCTTATCCCAGACACCCTTCATTGCCTCTCTCCTTACTGTGCTTTTTCTTCACTGCATTTACCAACGCATGACATACATTTATTTGCTTAATTGTTTTTGCCTATTTCGCTCCACTAGAGCATTAGCTTCTTGAAAGCAGAGACTTGATCTGTTTTGTTCACTGCTCTACCCCAGTGCCTAGAATTAGGGGGTCAATCAATACCTGAATGAATAGGAATCACTGAATAGAATTCTATCTCTAACATAAGAACAAGAAAGCAACTTTCCTTATCTAAGAAACAGCTCCTTCAAGATTCTCGGGGGTGGGGACAAGGGGTTTAAAGTACCGTAGCCCCCTTCTGAAATGTAGGCCTTCGGGGCCTCCATCACTCCTTTGTCTGAGGATTGAGCCAAAATGAGCCCTTGAGAAGAATCTCAGCCCTATCTGTGGGGACATCCTACACCTCTAGGGGTGCTGGTCTTCTCTCCAATCACGTGTCCTGGCTGGCTTTTTGAACTTCCGATCATCTCGGCTCAGCGGGCTGTTCATTACATGCGTTTATATTTAACTAGCCAAAAAGAATGCCTGCACTCCAGCTACTGAGTATGGAGTGCCCTGAACTCACTGCAGTTAGATACCCAGAAAAGGCTTTACTGGGGAGAATGATAAATAGGATGGCCTGATGTAGATTTAGTTCCTCTGCAGACCCTCTGAAATGCGTGCGTGTACTCAGCTAGATCAGGCAAGGGTCCTGATTTCAAGCCACGTGATCTTGGCCCCGGAAAGAGCTGCCGCTTCTGAGCGGGTTTTGGTTCCAAGCCCGCGGGGCAGCCCTGAGGGATGCTGTGGTCAACAGCCCCAGGTGGCTCCCCTGGTGCTCTCCGGACACCGCCTGTGCGTCCCAAGGGCTTGGTCCTCTCTGCGAAGACCCGCGCGAGAATCGCCCAGCGTCTGTGTCACTCAAGTGATGGCACTGATGGGCTCTGTCTTTGCGTCTTCACAGTGTCTGTCAACGTGTGGGCTTCCTTAACTGTCGCCTCCGTGTTCTTCCTTGGTCCCAATTTCCTCAAGAACATCTTAATCTTTTAGTACTACACATATTTTTGAAAGCTGTCTCAAATCTTTCAGGGAGTAAAGTTGTATACTCCTAAATACGTTAATTAATTGTTCCATAGAAATTCTTTTTATATTGCAAATTTTCCTATTTATGCATCTTCCATTAATTTAAAAAAATTGTGGTAAAACATACATACATAAAATTTATCCCTTTTAAGTGTACGGTTCTGTGGCATTCAGTACATTTGTACAAACTCTCTTAGTTAACTTCTGTGTCAGCAAGTTGCCAGGGGCCCACAGCTGCCAAAGGTGCGAGGCTGGTGGGCCCCTCTCAATGCGGGCACGCTTCTGCTTCTACCCGTGGAGTTGTGTGTTTACTGAGAGTCAGCTGTGTTATTCTCTAATGTATTTATGGCGGTTTTATTTGTTATTGCAATTATGTAATATAATTACTTTAAATGATATATGAGTACCAAAAGGGAGCTGTTGTTTTGTGAAAATTCAGTTGACTTTCAACTTATGTATAACAAGTGAAATTTCTCAAGAGTTCTCTGATGAAGCAGTAAGACTTTCCTTTTGGGAAAACCTTCAGGATGCCCTCCGAGCCGAGAAATGAAAGAACATTACTTACCTGCCACCTCTGACATCACAGGATCGAGGGCGCCCTGACAGGGACTGGATCTGGGGAGAGACACAGAAAGCTGGGCTTACTCACTGACAAGCCAAATTCAAGTTTTTAAAAAGCGTCTTTGCAGGTATCTTGGGACTCTAGTCAGTGCAAATGAGAGTCAGCACATATAAACAGCATCCCCACAAGGCAGCCATTTAAGCTTTTTTTTTTTTTTCTGGTACACAGGCCTCTCACTGTTGTGGCCTCTCCCGTTGCGGAGCACAGGATCCGGACGCGCAGGCTCAGCGGCCATGGCTCACGGGCCCAGCCGCTCCGCGGCATGTGGGCTCTTCCCAGACCGGGGCACAAACCCGCGTCCCCTGCATCGGCAGGCAGACCCTCAACCACTGCGCTACCAGGGAAGCCCGCCATTTAAGCTTTGACTAGACTTTTCCAGGCATAACAGAGGCATAATATTAACAAATTTTCTTAATTTGATGCTTTCTTAATTTATCTTCTAGATGAATATTATTTTCTTATAAAAGGCCAATGTTTTTCATACAGAGCATTTAAATAAACATTCATTTTCCAGTTGGCCTGAGAGGAATAGAAGAAAAGAGAAAAATAAAACAGGATGAAGAAAGAGGAAATTAATGTCAGAAGAAAAAAAATATTTCAACTAGAATCTAAATTCCAGGATGGGGGCGATTTTCATTTTGTTTATTGCTGTATCCCTGCACCCAGGATGCCTGGCAACAGGTGCTATACATATATATATATAAAATGAATGAACCTATTGACTCAACTCTTCACCCAGAAATGATTTATGGAGAACTGCAAATCCATAAGAACTAAGAGAGATGAGGGGAATTCCCTGGCGGTCCAGTGGTCAGGATTCGGCGCTTTCACTACCCTGGTCCTGGGTTCAACCCCTGGTCAGGGAATTAAGATCCTGCAAGCCGTGTGGTGTGGCAAAAAAAGAACTAAAAGAGGAGACGAACACCTCTTCCCAGAGAGAGCACATCTTCCCTGGTACTTGGGAAAGAGTGGATGCCACTGCCCCCTTTGTGGGGAAGATACAGTTGTCCTCCGATAAAAGCCTCCAAAACCACCTGGGCCTCCATAGCAGTGGGCTACTTCTCCTATGTTTAAGTATGTGAATTTTAAATCTCTTTTATTCCCCAAAAGACTAAACATCAAAACATCTTGCTTTTACAAAAGACCATTCAAGCCCACCCTAATGCTAATGATGACTTTGGTAGACTTGGCAGAAGAAATTGGAAGTGACTAAAGGAAGCCTGAACAGGTGGCGATGGTCAAGCACGAGACAATACAAGCAACTGCAACAGCACATCTCAGGGCCAGGGCAGACACACTGTTTTCTTTCAAAGGCAACAGCTTCTCTATGGGAAGAAAGGCCAACTCAGGTACTGCTGGGACCTCCCTCTCTTCCACAGCAGGTGAGTTCACAGAGAGAGCCATGGTAGAGACAGGGACAAGTGCTCAAAGGCTCTTAGAAACCATTTAACAGAGCACTTCCTTTCTGACTTCTGGAAGACTCGGGTCCAATGGCCTTGATTCAAGAAAGTAGTATCTGGTAAACCAGCAATTCTGGACAGAAGCTGGTGACTGGAAGGCAGTGTTGGCTACAAAACAGAAAAATCTGCCTGTGACTTGTAACCAGGTTTCAGTGCTTCTTGTAATACAAATGAGATGTGAAGGACCAACAGGTTTTTCTGAATGAGTAAATTCAGAAAATTAGGAAGGCAAGAGATGGCTGTACTAATTCATCAACAATGATAATTTTTATTTGAACCATCATTCCCTAGTACATTCTTCCTATCTCTGTCCCCAGACATCCGCTCTGCCTTTTTTCCCAATTCGTCTTGTTTTCTCCTCAGCAGAATTTGACGATGACCTCTGAAGTACAAATATTCAGTGACAACAAACATAGCTGTCCACCCACCTCCTTGGTCTCCCACAGCTGTTTTGGCAGTGGCTTGGGAATGTTTAGCAGATTCTCTTCCTTCAGTGGGCTGGGGAAAGACACAACTAAAAGGGAGAAGAAGCACATTCACTGTGTTAGAAGGAAGCCATCCCACCTTTGGCCGAACCAATTATCTTTGTAAAAATGATTGATTTAACACATATTTATTGCCTGTCTACTAGGGAAGGTGTTTTGAGCGTTACCATGGGTGTGGCATAGGTGAGTAAGACATGGATTCAGCCCTTGAGGACTTTATACTCTAGTCAGGGGAAAGGACAAAATGTGAATACCCATGTCCGGAAGGAGAAGCCGGGGGAGGCCCACAAGAGTGAAAGCTCAGTGCTGCTCAAGGGTAGACCAGGAAGAGCCCACGCTGGCCTCTGGGGCTCGGCACTGAGGCGAGCCCTTTAGAGACACAGGAAATGAACATCCCCAGAGAGGGAGGAATAAGAACAAAGGCCTAGAGAGAGAGGAAGTGGTGGACGACTACTGAGCAGAGCTGCTCTTTTCAACTGGAGTGTAGGGAAAGTAAAGGAGAAGGGTAGGAAGGTCGAGGCCAGATCAGGAAGGGCCCTCAAACTTGGCGAGGAGAGGATGGAAGAAAAGGGATGAGGAGAGACCCACAGAAATCCAGGAGAGAGGAAATGGGGAAGATAACAAAGAGAGAAGAGGAATATTACATGGAAGACATGGTGGCAGTAAAGCTACCTGGTCATAGGCTGGGAGTGGGGGATAAAGAGGAATTGAGAACCCAGAGGACTAAGGCTGGGCAGCTGAAGGGCCCTCTCCTGGCTCTTAAAGCCTGTAAAACAGCCTGGCTTTGTATCAAGGGACCAATCCAGGGCTTTCTGCCAGGTAAAACAGGAGTGCTGAGCCATAAAAAAGGGAAAACTTCTTGTTCTCAGAGAGACACAAGAAGACAAAGGGCCAACCCTCAGGATCTGATGTTAGGAAGGGGATTCATTAGAGAGACAGGTGACGCTCAGAACTATGAGTGCTGTTAGGTTCTGGTGACCATGTAAGCTCCAGGGTGACTGTCATGACTGTCCTGTCTTAGCCCCACACAGGATGACAGACTCCAGAGAGAAGCCACTTCAAACAGACTGAAATTTCAGAGTAAATTCTGAGAATGAGGCAATGCTCTTTACAGATGACCTACTCAGCACCATCACAACAGCAGTCATTTCTGCTCAAATATTCCAGGCTTTATCAATGATCCCAGGTGTGTCTTAATTCTGATCGTCAAACCACTCTCTTTGGAAAAGCTTATTTTGTCAACCTTCTTGTTTTCTTCCTTTTCTTGGCTTCCTTGTTAACTTGTCTAACTGTCAACGTAAACTGCTTCAGAAATGTAAGTTTCATGATGGCAGGGCCTTTATTTTATGCACTGGTGGGCAGTGCTTAAAATAGTACCTGGTAAACACTGGCCCTACAGCCCTCTCTCAACAAACTGGAGGACAGGAATAATAGGTTTGAGAGCCTTTATAAAGCCATACAATGACGCAAGAATTAAAAAATGTTTCTGTAATGTACTGCTAGATGATAGGAAAAATTTGCAAGAATTAAAAAATGTTTCTGTAATGTACTGCTAGATGATAGGAAAAGTTTCAAGGGCTGAGTGAGGTAGCTTCATGACTCAAGCCTACTTCTTGTAAGAGTTTGGTCACAGGAGTATGGCTGGAGTGTATTCCAGCACCGCAAAGGGGATTGTTTCCTTAGAGTAGTTCATTGCTTTTAGTCTCTTCATATCCAAGATTGGTTGGGAATTCTTCAGAGAAGTCATTGGGGGAATGCAAACAACCTTGAAGCCATTTCTTTATCTCTGTCCTAGTGGATTAGATATTTATTGCTGTTTCAACTTTTCATGGTTTGACTCATGGCCTAAAATGGCTTGCCCAGAAACGAGTATATAAGATGATGAAAGAGAATTGTGGCTCTGACGCAAGATGCTCCTCATTTATCATATTCCCCACGAGTCCTGACCGCTGCGATACACAAACCTAATTTAGTTGTTCACTTCTAGATTATGAAAACTAAATTCCAGATTATAAAGTTTTAGGGAAAAGAAAACAGTGCCTGGTACTGAATGAATAAATGAACTGTGTCAGACCCTCATTTGTCAATGGCTTCGAGAGTCATTTAGTAGATCTCCAACATTACCTTTTTTTAAAAAAAATTATTTTATTTATTTATTTTTGGCTGCATTGGGTCTTCGTTGCTGCACGTGGGCTTTCTCTAGCTGCGGCGAGCAGGGGCTACTCTTTGTTGCGATGCATGGGCTTCTCATTGCAGTGGCCTCTCTCATTGCGCAGCACAGGCTCTAGGCACGCAGGCTTCAGTAGTTGTGGCACGTGGGCTCAGTAGTTGTGGCTCGCGGGCTCTAGAGCGCAGGCTCAGTAGTTGTGGTGCACAGGCTTAGTTGCTCCGCGGCATGTGGGATCTTCCCGGACCAGGGCTTGAACCCATGTCCCCTGCATTGGCAGGCGGATTCCCAACTACTGCGGCACCAGGGAAGCCCTCCAACGTTACTTTAATCAGCTTTATGAAACTCATTATCTTCTGCAAGATTTGCAATTTCATTCTGCAATCAGTTTGCATTTTCCTCACATTATTTATATCTGTCAATTACTGACTCACAAAACTTTCTAAACAGGCAGAGAAAGACAGCTGAGGAAGGAAGGATATTGGAACAACTAATGGCTTAAGTGACCAATTTATTAATATTTTCACGTGATTACAACTTTTGCTTCCCTGCACAACCTTGTGACTGTGGGACTGTGGGACTCAGATGATGAGGAGCCTTGTAATCTAACCACACATTTCCTTTTTCGTGGCCTTGATCATGGCTAGCCTTAATTTTATAGAGCATCTCAGAAAATTAAACCCATCAGCAGTTGTCAGCATTTTGGGAAGTCCTGAAAACATGAGTATTAACTAGTTCAGATGTTGAAAGAAGGTTATGAATACTAAAGTCAGTATCTCACTCAGCACAGGTAGGTGAAATCAATTCATACCTTCCCCATGTACGTCGTTCTCACCATCACAGAAACCTAGTGGGAAAGAAAAAAAAACACTTTTATGTGGTGCTTTCACCTTTATTTATTCATGAATTAGTAAGTCTTTCTGATTCAAAATAGAATTTCGAAAATTCCAAAGCAATTTCGGTACACTGATGGTCAAATCAGTGTACATTAGCATTTATAATAAAATTAAAATAGATATGGCTAATTTAAGTCTAAAGTTGGTGCCTATCTACTTTTATTTAAAATTATCTCCATCTTAAAATTTTTTACTGCCTGTGTCCTGAAAGAAGAACAATTTACAAAGTCTGAGAACCTCTAACCAAATCACAAAGAAAAGAAGTATATAGATCGAAACTCTCTTCCAAATGCTTTATTGTGGGGGGAAGGGGAGGTAACTAAAAAAGTCTACATCACTGTTTCACACTCACCATGCGTGTCTAGAGAAACAAACTGGAAGTTCCATGCTGTGTACTGTTATTTATATTTCTTACAAACAGTCATTTTAAAAAGAAACTTGGGACTTCCCTGGTGGTCCAGTGGTTAAGAATCCACCTTCCAATGTAGGGGACGCAGGTTTGCTCCCTGGTTGGGGAACTAAGGTCCCACATGCCGTGGGGCAGCTAAGCCCGAGCGCCGCAGTTACTGTGCACGGGAGCCAGAACTAGAGACTGTGTGCTGCAAACTACAGGGCCCATGTGCTCTGAAGCCCACGTGCCACAACGAAGATCCCGCATGCCACAACTAAGACACCCCAATGCAGCCAAAAATTAAATAAATAAATATTTTTTTAAAAGAAACTTATCTGGAGTCTCAGTCAATTTAAATCGTATATATGATAGCTATTCACAAAGTTTTAAAAATTTGACTTGTAAGGAATTCTGATCCATAAAATATATTGCAGATGACAAGTAGAGTATATCCTATTGCTCTAAGCTAAAACCAAAGAATCGTGCCAAGAATGTAACACGTTAGCATTCTCTGTGGAGCAATCAAATATACCATATGAGTTTTCAGTTAAGATCAGGACAAATTTTTAAGTTTTAAGCCTTTAAATATAACTTACTTCAGGTTTAAATATGTTTCTGAATAAGCTTAACCTATAAGTTAACCTGATTAGTCTATAAAACTTAAGCCAAATGTCTAATAACCATACACTGAACATAATTAAGTTCCTGCACTGACTGCTAGGTGTGGCCAGACGATACAGTGTAGGTGAGAAGATAGAACACGGAAGCAAATTCTATAACACAGGCAGAAGATATAAAATTTTAGTGGCACCCTGGGGCTGGACAATACTGAGAATCCCCAGAAGCACTAAAATTAAAAATTAAGAACACTCATAAAGACAGCATTTCTCTCAGGCCCACAGAACAGAATCCAAGTTAGTGATTTAAAACTCTGTTTAGTGCACATAAAGACTATTTGGGTAAGCTTGCTAAAATGCAAGTTTGTGGGCCCAAACTGCACAGATTTTGGTTCAGAAGCTGTGAGAATGGGCCCGGGAATCTACATTTTAAACAATCAGCTCAGAGGACTTTACTGCAGATGGTCTCTTAGAGAGACTTGGGCTAGGCTGTAGCTTAGTCATGATCTAACACGCCTACTAAAGACAGGCAGTGTGAACAGAACACTAGGAGACAGGTGCGGAGAGACGGAAGGTGTGGCTCTACGATCAGCACATCAGAAGGAGGGGGAGAAGCTTCTGATTCCTGGTTTGGTTTCCCTGGGACCCTCATATCGGGAACTTAACCACTTAGATCACTTAAAAAGTGACAATTCTATTACAGATAAAAAACGAAGTTTGACACAGCAATCTGGTATAGTATGTTGAAGCATCTCTTTATCATTAAGGCACCAATCACTCTGGGTTTAATAAATAAGGCCAGTTTTCCATTTAAGTAGTAAGTCTGACCTGTCCCTGGAACAGACTCAACTGATGGCTACCTTGTGGAACTGCCTGAGTGGGGAGCAGACACCCCACATAATATCCTCTCAGACTGGGACAGAAAGAAAGCCTCGTGGAGGAGGTGGCACCTGAGTTAGCCACTGAAGGACAATGACGGGGATGATAATAACAAGAGCCACTGTGATTGTTCTCTTATTACGTGCCAGGCACTTACATGGATGATCTCAGGTCATCCCCACAGCAACCCCATGAGGCAGGGGCTATTATCACCCCCAAGATCACACGCTAGGAAGTCTGAAGCAGAACTCCGGCCTGTGTGCCTTCAGAATGTCCAACTTGCTTCACCTGGGAGTTTAGACACTCAGGAATGAGGATGAAGGGGATGCCCCAGTGTAAAGACAGGAGGAGAAGGAAGAGGGGGAGGGTACAGCAGGGGCAGAGAATGGTGTAGTCTTGCTGGAGCTCAGGATGGGAGGAAGGGGAGATGAGGCTGGACTGAAGGTGTCTGTGAGTAATCTGGCTTGATGCAGGGAATAGAAGGTTTTGGTTAGAGAAGTGACATGATTATAGCTAAGCTTTAGAGAGATTGTTCTTGCAGCAGTGTAAGATGGATTGAAAGGAGAAAGCCTAAAGGCAGGGAGACCAAGTGGAAAAACCACTGTAATAGTCCAGGCAAGAAGGAAAGAAGTAGGGTATTTATTGCCAGTGAGGACAGAAAAGAGGCGGCAGACCTGAGATACCCTGCAGGGAGAAGGAACACGGCCGGGCTACTGAATGGGTGTGAGGGGTATGGGAATGAGAATAATTTAAAGACAACTAACTCCTGGTTTAGAGTTTAGGTAACTAGAAGGATGGTGGTGGCAATAACTGATATGTCAGCATCAAGCTAATGTATAACCAAAATATCCACGGCTGGATTTTTACTACTGGATAAAAAATATCATATGATACAACTATAAATAAAGGGATAAAAGTAAAAAGGAACGAGTTGTGACTGGATATCTAGAAACAGAGGAAACTCATATCAGTTCCACAGGGGATGGAACAGCCATGACCAAGGCTGCAACTGTGTTCCAAGAAACCTCGAAGTCTCAGAGCCACTGAGGGCTGACCCAGTGTAACGGAGACCATGTTCCCTCTCCCTACTCCCATGCCTGACGAATCTAAAATAACTCCTAGCACAGCCTTGATTTGCTGAATAGAGGCAGAGGCAGGGGGTAGATCCCTTAACCAGCGTGTGTCCTTTAAGAAGCCTCTGGCTTCAGCCTCCCCATTCTGGGCCCTCCTGTCATCCGGGTGACACTCTTGCCCCGCTTTAGATCTGGGATGCTTTTGCCATCCCCCTCTTCCTCCTATCCGTGCAGTCAAGCTTCTTTCAGGGTTACTTGCATTTTAAACGTTAAATGAAATTGAGTTATTTGTAGTGAGGTGGATGGACCTAGAGTCTGTCATACAGAGTGAAGTAAGTCAGAAAGAGAAAAACAAATACCGTATGCTAACACATATATATGGAATTTAAGGGAAAAAAAAAGGTCATGAAGAACCTAGGAGCAAGACGGGAATAAAGACACAGACCTATTAGAGAATGGACTTGAGGATACGGGGAGGGGGAAGGGTAAGCTGGGACAAAGTGAGAGAGTGGCATGGACATATATACACTACCAAACGTAAAATAGATAGCTAGTGGGAAGCAGCCGCATAGCACAGGGAAATCAGCTCAGTGCTTTGTGACCACCTAGAGGGGTGGGATAGGGAGGGTGGGAGGGAAAGAGATGCAAGAGGGAAGAGATATGGTAACATATGTATATGTATAACTGATTCACTTTGCTATAAAGCAGAAACTAACACACCATTGTAAAGCAATTCTACTCCAATAAAGATGTTTTAAAAAAAAAAAAGTTAACTGCGCTGGTCAAAGGTGTTGCCTCTGGCAAGGTCACTGAGGTGGGAGGCAGGCCTCTTTTCCTGGGGAGGAGCTCAGGGCTATAGTTCTCAAAGCTGGTGACACTCAGCATCTACCGCTCTGGGTGCAAAGACGACAACCGTCATGCCCTCTTCTGCCCGTAGCTCTAGACTGCCCCCTGAAAGGACAGGGACCACCGCAGCCCCCTCCTCCACTCGCTGGTGAGGAGTGGAGGGGAGACAGGGACAGTCCCTAGGCTATGGGACAGGGAAACGGGGCAAGTGTCACAGAGTGCCCTCATGCTTACCCATTGGGGGTGTGTGTGTGTGTTGGGGGGGGCGCCTGTGAAACAATAATTAAACTGCACATGCTGCTAGGGAAATGATCAATATTTCTCTTTATAAATTCTGGATAATTAAACAAGAAGAGAGAAATTATAAAAATCTTGTTTGGATGTATAAAAGTTTATTTCTAGAATTTACATCAACTGCTTACCATGGATGCCTAATTGCCGTGCAACCCAATAACCATTATGAAAATTACTAACTACGTATCAGTCTAATGGCTTTGTTTTCTTGGGACACAAACCTCTGCTCATGAATGTATCATAGTTTATTGTTTATGTAGTTAAGCTGTGAGCAGATGCTCCCTTATCATCTGCTCATAAAAAAAAGCAAATAAATAATGGGAACATTAACTGAGGTTACATCATTATGCTCAGGAAAGATTCCCAGGGAAAGAGCAGTTATTGCTTCTGCTATGGAGCCTAATTCTGGGTTTCAATTATATTTTCCCATCACTTTTTAAATCTTTACTTTATTTGGTTGGTCCTATAATAAGAAATACCTTTTGGAAAGCTAGCCGATATTTTTAAAGTCCAAAAGGAAAGAAAATGAAAAACTTTAATGAATGACAGGGGGAAAAGTACATGAAACTATTTAAAACAGCTTCCACCAACAAATATAATTCTCCAGAAATAATTCCTATCCCTGGAGACTTGAATAATATTTTAAACACACTGGCTTTCCCATGTAAACACATCCATATTTGGATGTGTTTCTGAGTTCTGCTATACTTGCAAGGCAACTTTGCAGAAGGAGGCACACAGTTCAGACATCCAAGCTGGAGGTCGGCCCACCTTCCACGGTTGAGAGATATTGGGGCCCAACGGTTTCTAACTGCGGATGTGAAAAGGAGTGACCCAGGAATTCTGCTCCAGGATTTCTTTCTTTCTGCTTTTTGTATTGCTCTGTCTACTAGGATCAACACTGACATTCTTCTGCTTTTCTTATTCATCCTCACTCACACCTTCTGACATTTCTCACCTCTTCCCTCAGAGGCTACATCACTCTTGGCATAAATATTTCACTCAATTAATCACTTTCTTTATAGTTTTGTGTTTTTTTTTTTTTTCTCTCTGCATGCAGGCCTCAAGATCTTGTTACCTTGTTCTCTGTAGGCCTTTGGCCCTTTCTAGAGAAGCGGAAACTTTAAACAGAGGGTGACACGAATGAAGGAATGTCAGAAGCAGAAATGCAGCTCTTTTTGGGGAGCTCCAGGTTAAAGCCTATCAGTCTGGTTCCCTCCCAATCCGGGGAGACTAAGCGCTTGCTGCACCTTGTTTAGGCTTATACATGCCTATAGTCTACCTATAACCCTACCTATCTGGAAGCTAAACTACTCCATCTTCCCATATATCCTACCTCTCTAAGTGGTAAGCAGTGGACCCATATCCAATTCCAACATAACTGCCAGCTTTACTCTCATATCCCCATGTGTGGAAACAGCTAGACGGTCCTAACCAATTCTATAAGAGCTCATACTTGACAAACTGTTCGGGTAAATGTAGCATCTCTGAATTTCACCAAGGGAACAAATGCAGCATTATTACAACAATATAGGGATTATTAAATCCTATCCCTACTATATGCAAGGACTTAAGACCTGGAATATTCTCCTCAGAAGGAAAAGAGACTATTTAGGGTTTAAATTACCTAAAAAGTAAAGAAAACTAGAAAAGCTAGCATTATCTTGGCCAAAGATTTATTTAATCCCATTTCAAGACCAAACACACAGCCCTATTTATGGACAAGAGTCAGTGTGCATAAGGAATGGATAGTTCAGGACCATTGTTCCTACTAGATTATAAACTCCAGAAAGGCAGGCTTGGTCTTTGTCTTAGTGAACCAGACTTGGTTCACATGCAGGTTAGATTCAGCAACTAGAGTATGCTCTGTACACATAAGCCACTGAGTAATTTCTCCACACTCTCCCTCACTGAGGACTCCTCTGTGCCAGGCACTGTGCGGAAGGTAAGACCATAAGACGCTGACTGTAAGAAACCTCCAGGGAGCAGAAGGAGAGAAGCACATTCACGAGAAAGGCAGTCAAGTGACACAGGTGCCGAGATGGCCATCTATAGGTAGGAGCTTTGGGATGTTAGAAGGACATGGGGAGCTCTGGGCTGGCAAAGGGAGGAAGGTCAAGGATGGCTCCACAGACGTGGGGACAAAGCTGAGGGCCCTGGTCAGGTGAGCCAGGAGTAAGTTAAGAGAGGAAGAGATGGGAAGAGGATGGAACACTAATAGAAACCGAAGTAGTTCACCCACTTGTGGGGAGGGGCTGGTGAGTGAGGAGAGAAGGGAGAGAGGTGGGCAAGGGCCAGATCCTGGAGTCTGTGTCATTCCAAACTGAGAGATTTGGACTCTCTCTGGGAGGTGAGGGGGTGGCACTGAGATTTTAAGCAGGAGAGGAATATGATCAGATGTGGGTTCATTCTGGAAGCAGACAGCATGAATCTTTTCCCCACTCCTGGTCCCCGCTGGCCTCTCTCCACCCCTTTACTCACTCTGGCCCCAGGGAGGTGGAATGATGACCTGCAGCAAAGAGGGGAACAAGTGAGGCGGGGGTGGGGGGGGGTGGGGGGTGTGCCGGCTCCACTCTGGCTCGCGCTTCTCCTGGCCAGGGGCGTGCCTTCCCTCGGAGAGCAGCCTCCCTGCCGGCCCTGCCCTGCAGTCTGACCTCGATGCTCCTGCGGGGGGCGCCCTGGGCCAGTGCTGCTGGCCACTGGGGGAGTCAGTCTCCCTCTGGGGTTCAGTCTTAACAGCCACAGACCCACAGAGAGAAGTCACTTCCTCTTGTCAGGAAGAAAGGTGGTATTTACCTCCACCCATCACTTCTACTTTTATTTCTCAGTTTGTCCAGATTCTGGATGGGAAAAAAGGACTTTCAGAGAACCCAACATAAAACTGGATTGGGAGGACATAAGACTGGAAATAAGGAGACCAGTTAGCAAGTTGTTATGAGTCCCTATAAAAATGATGAGGGCCTGAAAATGGAAGAGTGTGGAGTAGAGGAAGCTGGAGGGTCAAGAGATGCCAAGAAGAGAGAATTTGCAGAGGAAGAGGCAGGAGAGAAGCTCCATTCTTATTCCATCGTGAGCACACACACATCTCCCCTGCCAGGAGTTTTTCCCTGAGGACCACGAATCGGGGAAATGCACTTGCGGTTTAAGCTTTTCTCTCTCCCGGTTCCCATAGGACAGAATGAGAAGGCACAGATGCTGTTAGCATCGGGCCTGCATGTCTTACCCATGTATGAGGCAGGCCAGGCCGACTGGCCCCCTCCTCCATAGGGGTCCTGGGGCTTGGTGCTCAGAGCACTCGTGTGAAGAGCAGAGTCAGAATTGGTCCTAATGGGGGGAGGAGAGAGTCTGGCTGAAAATCCATTTTTCCTTAGTGAAAATGCAATGTTCTTTGCTGAAAATTACCAACAGGAAAGAAGGCAAGAATAACAGATTTGCAATCATCCATAAATTGAGGGGTCTGGACCTACCTGAAGTCCCTTAGATCAGTAACAGCCTCTGAGGATGGCCCATACCCAAAAGACTGTAATTTGTACTTGTATGATCTTTTCCTTTGAAGCTAATGGCATAATGATCTGGTTCAACAAGGCAGACCCTGGATTCACGGCTTCCTCTAAGAAACTTCCCAGTTTTCCTCACAACTCAGAAGATCGCTGTGATCAGTATATTCTCTGTGGCTGCACTAGCTTTTCCCCATCTGAGAATAACTCCTCCTATACGAAGGATCACCGATAGCAGTGACTCTCAAACCCTTCCAGGGAGAATGCAAGGTCAAGACAACTTTCAAAATAACCCTAATGTGTCCTTTGCCCTTTCACTCTCGCTCTCATGAGCACAGTAGTTTTCCAGCAGCCTTGTGACCTGTGATGTCACCGCGGGCTGAATGCACAGGCGGAGAATCGAGCTATCTTCAAGAGATTTGTAAAAGGTACAACAATGCCACTCTTCTCAGTAAATTTTTTTTGTTTCAGAAAATATAACTGTGCTTCTTAAAAAAAGATATTTATCGACATGTAATGAGTTTATTATTGTTATTTTATTTCTAAATGCATTTAATAAGTATCTTCTATAAATCTCTCAATTTAATTTCCAATATCAATAGCGAAATAAACAAATATACTCACACAAACAAACACTGAGGGCCTCAATGGCTTTTAAGGTTGCAAAGGAGTCTTAAGACAAAACATTTTGGGAACCGTTGAACTATAGCAAATTTCTGGAATTCTCCCAGACAGCTCCAATTTATATTTAGCTTCGACTCTAAGAGATATTAGTTACTTATCTCATCCAAGGGTCAAACTGTCTGCCATAAAAAGAACTTGTGAGAGACCTGAAATTAATCTAAAATGCTTCTTTGTGGGCTGTTCCAGGTGATGGCCTCCTGTGGCCACCAAGCCGTGTGGCTTGACTGTGCACCATGGCTGTGTTGTGTTCAGACAAAGGGAGAGGCGGTTCAGAACCTACATGAAAAACAGGAAGAGTGTGGACTCTGGGATCAGAGAGCCCTGGGTTCAGATTCTAGCTCCTTTACAGATTCAAAAAGACTCAGGAGAATATCAATCAAATGCAGAGAGACAACTGGGAAAATCTGAATACAGACTGGGTATTAAATAATGTTAGAAATTACTGTTAATTTTGTTAAGTGTAATAATGGCATTGTGGTTATGTTTTTTTAAAAAAGGTTCCTATCAGGCTTATACTGTTAGGTATATTTACAGGTGAAATACTTTATCTGGCCGGTGCTGGGATGGGGGTGTGGGGGACGGCGGGGTAGAAATAGAAGCTGAAGGATGGGCACACGGAATTCTTATAACTATTTTCCTTTCCAACTCTTTTTTGTATATGTTAAAATTTTGCACTAATTTTTTTTTTTTAAATCCCAGTTCCATCACATATTAGCTAAGTGGCCTTGGAAAAGTCGTTTATAACCTCTTAGAACAGAAAATACTACTCATTCTTGTAGAATGTTATCAGGATCAAAAAAAATGACCTGTGTAGAACACTTACCACTGGGGTCCAGCTCAAAGTGATCATTTAATAGCTAATGTATATTGAATACCTACGATTCCCAAGTTCCTTATGTATCTTATTTAATCCTCACAACCACCCCTTGATATTGGCACCGTTATCTCCCTTTTCCAGATGAGTAAACTGAGGCATAGGGAAGCTACATAACTTGCTCAAGGTCACAGATTAAGAGAGGCAGACCCTGTTATCCACTCAGACCTCATGTTCTCACACTGCTGCAGAGTCCTGAGCAGACGTTCACGACCTGGTGGGAGATTTGGGTTCCTTTTTTTTTTTTAAACACGTCATATAAACACAACTGATGTAAACGTACTCTGGCAAATGGATGATATATTAGAAAACATCAGGACAATCAAGGCGACTGGCTTAAAGTTTATTTCTACTAGAAAACAAGCCATGTACCTGTTAAGTGCAGATGTTAGCCTGAACCCAGGGTGCTTCTCTTCCTTCCAAGGAGGCTGCTGCCTTTAAAAACCAGAATAACATAAAAAGAAAAAGAAGTTCAATCCACGGGGAGCAAAGGAGAACCTCCGGCCTGGGTTTGAGAACTGGCTCCTCTATTAACCCAGCTGCAAGGCTGACCTCTCCAGTTCCTGTGATTTCTGATTTCCATGATTAAAACTATCACAAATCCATGGGAACAGCAGGAGCAAATGAGATAGCTGGGCACATAACAAGGTTTTTTTGGGTTTTTTTTTTTTTGGTTTTTTTAAAAAGGTCAAACAAGCACCTTTGAATGCCTTTTGAAATGTTTCAAATCTATGACCAGTTCCTCTCTGGGGATGTGAGGTCTTACTCCAGATGTTGAAAAACTACCCCTTGTCACATACCCCGAGTGCGTGGAGTGTGTGCATGTGGGTGCCTGGCCGGACTGGAAGCAGAAATGCTGCAACCCCACACAGACTCCCATGAAGAGGAATATAACTGTTACAGTAGCCCAGTTTATGAAACTATGAATCTGACTAATCCTCCCGCTCTGGAAAGCCTAAGACAATTTTTCTTGAATACAAATTTTTAGAATCTCAATTTGGAGGTATCCTTTTATGATTTAAAATAAAATATTGTGCTTATCCTACAACTGTGGATCCCAAGATTCTTAAGCGCTGCTGAAAACCTACTTGAGGTAGGGGCCAGCTGTCACTCATCTTCATATCGACCTTTTCCAGGTCCTGACTACATTATCCACAGGAAGTGCTGCCAGTGTTTGCCCCGAGAATGGATGGAGAATAGATCTCAACCGAGAGAGCTAAATTTTCTCAATACGTACATTTCAAATGCCTCTTAAATCTGACTAGGTGATCTGAAAATGATACCATGCATCCACCGGATGTAACAATCTTTTCAGTTAATTTTATATTCTGTCACCCTCAGTATTCAAAAACACTCAACTTTTTGGTATATATTCTCTATATACAAAAATACTCAGGGAGACCCTTGGTCAAATCCACTATGCAAATTAGTTTTAGGAGCTTACTAAAGTCTTATGTTTCTTTCAGTAGCTTACCAAGACACGTTATATATTCAAATATAAGAATAAAAAATCAGAGTAGTATGTTGGTAATTGTATTCCAAATGTGTTTCTATTTGGTCTTTAAAATGAAGATCTAGATTGATTTAAATAACTTAATTTTAGACTTTCATATAAGTCTATGATTATACATGGAAAGACTTAAGTTTTATAAGAGAAAACAAGAGCCTGTGCTTTAGATTAGAAATTTCTAAAACAACATTCAAGGTGGATACAATAAAGCGAAACCATCCAAAAATAGCACATGCCCCTCCTATCTTTGAAAATAAGGCTTGCTTACCTTGGCCAACTCTCATCCAGGGGCTGCGAGGCGTAATTAGCTCCAAATGTACTACCATCAAAGTAGAATTTTCAATAAAGGAAAAATATAATGAATGGAAAGTTGAAGCAGAACTAAGAGGCTGGAATCGTGGGGAGTTCAACAACTTTTTTGGTTCTTATCTTTATCTCTACACCCGACATCTCTTCCTCCATGCTTTGTCTTATCAACTTCCTCTGGAAAAATCTATTCTATCTTCTAACCAGTGCCATCTCTGCATGATTCACATGGGGTGTTTCTTTTTTTTTTTCTGCCTGCCCAACATCTTTTACTTTCAAGAACTGCTTCCACCCCGATCTGAAACCTGGTAAGGCTGTCATTCTGTGTGGGCCTGCCTGCCCCACAAAATGTACATAGACCCAATATTTCCAGTCAAGGTAACTTATTCCCCTGCGACTGGTTCAGGGATGGGCTCATGATACAAACAAGGGGGAAAAGGAGTGCCCCCAGCTGACGTGGTGAGCCCGAGGACCACATGGACCTGGGTTTCCCTCCCTGGAAGTCAATTCAGAGGGAGCCCCTCACAGATGCCGAATCTCGATGCTATTGTACAAACCCCTGGATCTAGCCCCTTGGGCTTCTAGTGACATAAGCCAATAAATTTCCTTTTTTCCAAGTTGAGGGTTTCTGTTTCTTATAACTAAAAGAGAGCGGCATTAGGTTTGTGGAGAAATGTGAACTTCCTTGGGTTGTCAGGGGCCCCGTTTTATAATTTCTGTATTCTTCACTGGGTCTAGCCTGCCTTAGAACATATTCCAGGTGAAATGGAAATACGGAAAAACAAATGTGATGCTACACTATACATGCTGAGCACAGTAGAGCCGTTTTGGTTAATTTAGTTAATTATACATATAGAATAGCCTTCTTAAAACATTTTAAATCATATTATTCTCCTGCTAAAAAATCTTCAATGATTCTGTATAAAGGAAGCCAGGGCTTCTGAGCTAGGGCTCAGAAGGAAATGGGAACCAACGGAGAAGGACCCTATCCTACAGGCAGAATCTGGCATTAGTAAAACATGGGCACTAATGAACTCTTCATGAAATATTTCCTTTGCCAGAAGCATTAAGATCACAAGGTTCACTTCCTGTGTATTAGTTTTGTCATGTCTAGTTACCTTCTTCCTTAATCTGAATCTTAGTCAAGGCAATAAAACAGAGCTATTTTCAAAAGAGAGACCAGACATTTCTTCAACACCAAATATTAGGCTTAATGTATGCAAAGTACAGATGAGAACAGACTGCAGAAGGAGACAGAAGAGGAAAAGGTGATAAAGAAATAAGAAGGCCCTCTGAGAGGAAGCACAGCAGTATCTCAGTTGGCAGAGCCATTAGGGAGAAGGCATTGAGCCTTTCTCTTTCCTGCAGAGTTTGATGAATCTCTGTCCAGAAAAGATAAATTTCAGAAGCAGAAGTTTACCACTTCCCTCAGGACACTGCCACCCTTAAAGTCCTTAAGTCCACTTATCTGGAACCTGTAATACAAATTAGAATGCAGTGGTGTAATAGCAGTGCAATGATCAAACATCGATTATTTCAATGTTGAGGTATAAGTCAGCATTTTAGCCTTTCTGATGTGTATTAACAACACGGAAATGTAGTAAATTCCTGAAATTTTAATATGAGTAGGCCGAGGCTTCAAAAGTTAAAAGATGTGACCTCTGAGCTCTCCCAGTTCTCACCATTCACATCTCACTTAATGGATATTCAAAAACCCAACAATTGTTGGCACCAAGAGAACCACTAATGTTAGTAACCACTAATGTCAATAGCTTACAGCTAAATTCAACAGAAGAAAACCTACAAAAGGTTTATTTGTTCTTCTGAAGATTTCAGAAAATTTTGTTCAGGTGGCTTTAATTACTCTACAACACTAATATGTCCTAAAGAACATCCTAAAGACAGAAAAAATACCTTATTTGCAAACTTGAATTTACCATTTAATTCAACAAACATTTCTAGAGTGCTTGCTAGCTGCCAGCAAACAAACAGAACAGCAGCAGAGGTGACAGGGTTTTTAACAAGCCACATCAGCTCCTCACCCAGCACTACGTTAGTTAAGCCTAAGTCAAAAAACAGTCCCACAGGGACTTCCCTGGCGGTCCCGTGGTTGAGACTTTGCCTTCTGGCGCAGGGGGTGCAGGTTCAATCCCTGGTTGGGGAGCCGGGATCCCACATGCCTCCCGGCCAAGGAGCCAAGGCATGGAATGGAGGCAGTATTGTAGCAAATTCCATGAAGACTTTATAAATGGTCAACATTAAAAAAAAAAATCCAAAAACAAACAATCCCACATTATAATGGGCCTTTTTATTTATCCCCCTGTGCACTCCTCTTCTGGCTCCTCCTCTTCTGCCTTCAACCCTGATGGTCCAGAGTTTCTGTGGCCTCACAGCCTCTCAGCCCACATCTGCTTACATTGCTCTCAAAAGGACAGGATGGGAAGAAGGGTCTCAGTATCATGCGTGCCATGTAGAGTGGGAGCAGGGCGAGAGGCTGGGGACTCCGGGCACAGCCACTTTGGGAAGAGTGTCCTGCCTTCCATGCTCACCTTGGTCGGTCCCACCCATGCCTCTGGCTCCATCCATCATCCACAGTCCAGTAACTCATAAATCCATACCTCCAGCTCCCAACAGTTCTCATGAACTTCAGGCTCAAATTTCCAACTGCCTACTCAGCTTCTCCACCAAAAGTACCTCAAATTCTACCTAAAACCCCACTCATCATCTTGCCTCTCGCCTGCTCGTCTTGCTAGGAGTCCATCGTATGTAATGGAGGGTGCCATCCACCCAGGTGCTCCAGGTGGAAATGCCAGTCATCCCGGGCTGCTCTCTCTCCCCAAGTCCCTGCAGTTCTGTAGCGGAGAATCCTTCCCCTCGTGCTCCTGCCTCAGTCCATCGACAAGGGGGCTCCTGCTCCTTCTCAGCTCGGGGAGGGTCAGAGGGAAAGTTCTCACACACTCTTTCCCAAAGGAAGGGGAGTAGCCCTTCTGCTGATATGACAGGACACCTGCTGGCCCATTTCCCCATGGGTGGGGTCACTGAGCCTCAGAAGCTCCAAACAAGTCCGACCCTGTCTCTTTCTTGTGCTGCCTGCTCGTGGCTGGTGAGCACAGCCGGGTTCTTCTTTTGGCTTCCTGTTCCCATGAGGTAAGGGCACCCAGGGCAGGGCTCAGGAACTGCCTTCTTGAGCAGCCTAGGGGCGACCATGTTCTCTCCTGCCCTCTGCAACTCCGTGCTCCTCCAGGCACAGAGTTTGTGGGGCAGGTTCATGATGGTCCACGCAGCTGGTGGGGTAAGTGAACTCCAGGTCTGGTGGGTTAATAGAACCCACCCACCAAGACAAGTGCCAGGGTCAGATTTAACATATAAAACTGACCACAATTTGGTTCCTTCCTAATTTCTCAACCATGTCTTCACCATCGCTCAACTTCCTCTTGTCCTTTTACCTCCAACTATGTCCTGCCAGAATACATCTAAAAGTCAAACATGAAGGGAGGTACATGAGTGAGATCTTTTTTGAGTCCCTGTGTGTATGAAACTGTCCTCCTGTTTACCTCAGCATGCGAGTGACAAATAGGCGGCATGTGGGATTTTGAAGTCTGACTATTTTCCCCTTAAAACTCTAAAAACTAGCATTTCCTTATCCTCCAAGATGGAAATCCTTAATGGGTGGTAGGTAAAAACTGGATTTTGTGATCAACTAAGTTTTGGAAACCCTGGATTAAAGACAAGTTTCTTAACTGCCAGGCTTCTCAGACCCCTAATATAAACTGTGAAGCTTCAAGAAGATACAGAGAACCCGACATTTCTCAAATATAATAGGCAGTGCATTTCAAAGAAACAGTGTTCTATAAACTGACATCCTAAAATTTTCATCTCATTGTATGAAAAGAATCAAAGCAAGGCCTATTCCAAAGAGGAAAGCCATTCCTAACTTTGGCAGGTCTTAAGGCATCTCTTCGTGACTGTTCACCCTAGTTTTCTGGACACAATATACTCTCAAACCTTGTTGGGAATGTAAATCAGAAAATTTCTAAACGTTTGTTTTTCTTTCTTCCTAAAAACACATCTCTTTTAGAGGGAGGCGTTTCTTATGATTCTTCAGTGTGTCCCCCTTTTCTTCAATGTATTATCCACAGGTCTGAGATAATATTATATTTGCTGTAAATTTATGTTAATAGCTCAGAAATTCAACAGGATGGTGTTTGGGATACATGTTTGCTGCCTTTGAGGAGTGAGAAGGGCTGCTGAAGACATGAGCAGCTGCAGGAAGGTAGGAGAGCCTCTCCTCCGAGTTCTCAGGCCCAGGCCCCCAGCTGGGGACCAGGCAGCGCCTCTCTGCTGCCCTGAGTACAGTCCTGGGCCAGATCTCAGGTGGGCAGTGCCCTGGTCTCTGCTTCTGGCGGCCGCCATGCCAACAGCAGAGCCCAGAGCCCACTGTGCCAGCCTTCCCTGCTACGGTGGCTGCCCACTGCCCACCACGGGAGGAATGCCCTTGTGCCAGATCTCCGCTGCTTGTGGTGCCCACACTGTTAACAATGTTCATTTGAGATCATAGGACTGAACCCTTCTCTAAGTCACTGTGCGCGTTCTAAAATAACACCCAAGCCAAGAAACAGCTGGAAGAAGAAAATTCTGAATACATTTCTTCTCTTTGTTCTAGCAAAGATTCAAACCGGTGTTAATACTTCCGAATAATAAAACTTCATTAAGGAAGTAATAGATCGGTGAGAAAGGCAACCATTTTAAGCAAATTATTGCAAAATCAAATGAATGCAGGCCAGGAAAGGAAAGATGGAATTGCAGCCCTCTTCCCCATCTTCTCCTGAATATATTCATATCTTCGACATAAAATCATTCCACTTTTATATTTTACTAGGAGCTCAAGGTCCCTTGATTCTTCAAGAGACTCTCTGTTTATTCATGGGCAGGCCTACGCTAAAGAACTCTTTTGAGTCAGCAGATGTCAGTCCCAGGACCCCCGTTAGGTGCTTCAGAGAGACATCTCATGGTCGGTGAATCAGACTTGCACTGTCTGATGAACAACTTTAATTCATCTGTATATTTATTTGGTTCTTGCTTCTCCTGCCCTTAGGAGTTGATCTGCTTTGCTGCTGCTCTCATGAATTGACCCATATACACAGTCAAGTTCTAACCTATGACTTATTACCTGAAAAGAGATAGAGTCACCTGAACAGACAGTGAAGTCTTCCCTCCGGCACTTTGCACAAGCTGTTCACTCCGCCTGAAACATCTCCTCCCGGCTGTCTTCCTCCCTGCATATCACAACCACCTGAAGTTATTTTCCTTTAATAATTTTTTTTTTTTTTTCACCTGTTTGTTGTCTGTCATCTCCCACAGGACTGTAAACTCAAGAAGGCAGGGACACGTCTGTCTCATACACCTCTGAGTCCCCAGTGCTTAGAACAGTACCTTGTACAGAGAAGGGGCTCTGTGAATACCTGTTAAATAAATAAACATGCTATCCCCTCACTTGTTACCTATCCTTCAAGCCTCAGATTTTCCTCTGGGATGCCTTCTCCATCTCCCCAAGACTGGTGCAGGCTGTGCTACTCTGAGCTTGCACAGCCCCTAAGCTGCATCACCTGCAGCTCACCACACTGTGCTGACACCGTTTGCTTGGCCAGCTGCCTCTCCCACTGAACTACAAGCAACTTGAGGGCAGGGACTACGTTATGTTTCCCATGATATCTATAGTGTCTAAATGGTGCCTAACACTAACTGTTAAGTGAATGAACATTTTTCTCCGTTGCTTTTCTTCAATCTCCTCCTCTTCTAGACAGTCCTCTAGTTTAAAAAGCTGTGAGTATATGCATATATTTAGACTATACTTGCTGCAAAAAGGATTTGAAATAGCTATAAATATATCTATATGTATTATAATATTCAGAGAGAACACCTACAAGGGAAAGAGGGAATTGAGAAATTAGAAAAAGATACAATGTTAGTTACATCAAGAAACACTCTTTTACTTGAAAATTCCAAGCAATTTAGACAATGGTTCCAGGAACTGCTCCACCCGCACACATGTGAATGAGCTGAAGTACTGCCTGAATTCTCCTTTCCTTTTGCATTCTATGTAAAAGTTACTACACATTCCAGAAAGGAATTTGAGGGGTATTGGTGGTTAAATGGTAGAATTCTCGCCTCCCAGAAAGAACTTGGAAAAATTAGTTATCAACTTCATTTTCCCAGATAATGGTCACATGATACACAAAATTAGAAGTCAAGGTATCTCAGTGGACCAAATGTGGTGTGTCCCTGGGGGTGGAAGAGAGGAGAAGTAAACATTCATTGGGGTCATTACCCTCGCCTCACATTGACAGAAAACTGCAAGAAGCCCAAGGGCAAGAGAAGCAGTGGTTTCCTCTGTGCGACCCCCCCCCCCCCCCCCCCCCCCCCCCCCGCAACTCCTCCCAGGGGGTCTCTCTTGAGTGTGGTCCTGGGGACCACTGAGTGCTGTAGCGAGGGAGGGGCTCAGGCTGGGGGGTCAGCTTGACCTGGGCTGAATCTGGGCCCCTCCAACCTCAGCAGTGGAATTTTGGGCAAGTTACTCTGACACTCAGTTTCCTCATTGGAAAATGGGGGTTAAAAAAAGTAAACTGCTCAGTAAGTATTGAGGACTAAATGACATATGAACTGCCCAGCACAGTGTCTGGCATGGGTAGGTGCTCAGTAAACATAAGCGTCCTCCCCCCACTTCCTGGTTTCTAGGCTGGTGAAGCGAACTCTACCATCACTGCCAGGAATCCAGCTCTGCAGTAAGACTTACCCCGCCTTTCTCGTCTTCCTCCACCCCTGCGGGTGAGAAGAGTGAAGTGAGAACTCAGGCCCTCCTCCCACAAAATCCAGCTCAGGTCTGTTTCCAAAAGCCCTGAGCACAATGCTGGACCCCGAGCAGCACACCCCACTCTGGCCTCAAAAATAAAATTGTCAGATGAATTCACAATCTCCTTTTTTTCTTCCTACTTAATAGCATAGGATTTGGTGTGAGTGAATATCACTACGTAAGATTTTCCTAAATACCAGCTTTATATTTTAGTTGTCATCTATTGAATTTGAAACTCCATAAATAGAAAATCATATAAAATTTCTTCTGTAAGTTCTAGCAGCAGGTCAGTGGGTCAACAGAAATAAAAACAAATCACCTATCTGTCTGTTTGTTTTGGCTGGACAGATTAAATCTATCTAACCTGATTCAAAGTCACGTTTAATTCTGACTGCTGATTTCTGAAGAAAATGCTGAGAAGGCCTTGCAGTGGGGCTGAATTACATGTTGTTTATGTTCAGTTACTTCATTAAACTGAACTTTATTGACACTTTCATAAAGTAAACATCTACAATGATCCTTCCAATTTTTACCTGCGGAGATGTTTCTGGTTTCCAACTCACTTATTTTTCTTGCCTCTGTTCATCAGATAAAATGAAGATTTTGAGGCCAAAGGGGAATGACAGGGAAGATACATCCTGAAAACCTTTCAAAACTTATCCTCTCCTCAGACAATGAAAAAGGATATTTGTCGTCCTGGCTTGTCCCCAGACCGTCGGTGGAGGGGGTGGAAGCGGGTCCGGGACGGCCTCTCCACCAGCCCATGGTGGCGGGTTCCGCGCACGCTGTCAGCTGGGTGGAACGCCGGCTGTGGAGAGAAGGGAGAGAGTTGGCCTGTGACCGTGACATTGCCACTCACCCTCAAGAACACCAACTGATCACAACAACAGATGACAAGGCTGACTTTATAATTTTACTGGTGTCTATGACTGTGCCTTGAGTCAAGGTAAATAAAATGCAGCACATGGAGCTGTTTCTACATCATTACAGAATAATTTAAAATAGTCTTTAGTGTGTGAAGATGAAAGCTGAAAGAATGATATATTAAAAGTTGTCACAATTTGGAGACTATGGACTCATACATCAAATCCCAGGAATTAGGAGATAAGCATGAAATATAAAAGAGGTGTACTTAAGACAGAAGCGAACTGAGTACCTACAGCGTGCAGTGTTCAGAAACATAGATGTGGCATCCAGAAATAAAATGGGATACCTCCTGGGGACTGGGGACTACTTGCTCTATACGGTGTCTTTTTATATTTTTGATTGACTCGACAATGTTTAAAAATTCAGGTTTGGGGCTTCTAGTGAAAAATCTGAACATCTTGGCCACACTGGTCCCAAATTCCCACTTGGCAATGGGGACTGAAATTGAGAGTAGCTGACTTCTTATGTTAGACATCTGAGTTTGTGACCCCTGAGTCAAGGCGAGAAAAAAGAATACTACCTGAATACAACTGGGAAACACACAACTCATTATCAACTCATTTATACCCCAAATGGTACAAATGAAAATACAAACAGATTCAAGATAAATCCATGGTCAATAAATACAAAATCTTTTATTAATGGAGGCTTGGGTGACATTCTTAACATTTTTGAGTTTGGCATGATAAAAGGCAACCTTTTTTTTTTTTTAACATCTTTGTTGGAGTATAATTGCTTTACAGTGCTGTGTTAGTTTCTGCTGTATTACAAAGTGAATCAGCTATATGCATACGTATATCCCCATATCCCCTTCCTCTTGCGTCTCCCTCCCATCCTCTTTATCTCATCCCTCTAGGTGGTCACAAGCAAAAACCAAATCCTAGGCTGGACCATTCTACCTCACATAATGGGGCAATGTGTATACAATATTATGCCAGAGATGTTTGTGAAATACATGAAAACAGATTTTCTTTTATGTAAACTGAATCATATGTCAAATACCTAGCTTACTATGAAAGGAATCCTCTGACGGAGTATGTCTTTCTGGGGGAGCTTCTTTTAGTTAAGAATTGGTCGCTAATTTTTCTTTGTTATAAACACACAGATTTTCTTATATCGGATTTGGGAATGACTCCTATTTCTCCCGAGTGGACTGATAAAATGTCTGGACTAGTTTAGTTGAACAGTTCTGTCAGCAAAGGGTCCCAGGTCCCAGCCTGTCTCAGTTCTCTAGTTTTACAATCCAAATCTATTAACTCCTAAAATAAAGAGATCTTACTGAGGAACAACCTCTGGTACTGGAAGAAAAACATCCATTGTGATAGGTAAGATGGATGTTGATCTCAGACAAGACAGCACACTAATCTAGGGAGTGATAAGTTGAAACACCTTTGTTAATCAAGAGGGTGAA